GCTCGATCGGAAAACCTAGCAGCTTCACTTCTTTGTTTAGATCTTCATCAACTATAAATTGAAAAAAATATATATAAATGTCATGTTTCTGAACTATCAAAAGTATTTAAATATCTTACGTTTTAAAAAGTTAACATCTGGCGGGAAAGTCCTCAACAAATCCAGGATATAATGCCGTCCATCATTACCGATAATACCCTTGCACTCCACACTCGAACATAGTTCAATCGACTCATCCTTATCGTTCTTCACATGATGCGGCAGAATCCTCAACTGCTGCCCAGCTTTATTCAACAGTTCCAAGTATTTCGGATGCGAGAGAACCGTTTTGCCGAAATCAATCGAACCGTAAACAACAGATTGTTCCTGCTCACGCTCCAAAATACCCGGTATAATACTCTGCGCTGTCACGCGATATCCACGATAATCTATGACGACTGTGCCCAGAGTATACAAACCAGGCAGGTCAACCGCGCTGTACACTCGGACACCTTGCAGATCATTTCTCTATACAAATAAACATAGAATAATAAATTATATTCAAGATTAAATATCTGCACATACCGGTGCCACAAACGCAGCAGCATCACCTCCCAGCTCCTTATAATGATCACGCACGTCAAAACCAAGCGAGAAAAAGATATTGTTCCAGATAAACATCTGCATCTTAGCTTCCTCGCCGGGATTAATGGCCATCACGTTACCGTCAATCACGGCCATGGCACCTCTAGTTGCAGCGGCCACAAAATCGCTGTGGACTTTAAAAATAGCGCGTTCGCGCAGCAAACGCTCGGGCAGTGTTTTGCGTGGCAGTTCGCGCGTAGTCTGCAGTTCTTCGTTCCAGTCGCGGGTTTGACCCGGGATGTGTTCTTCATAGCCCAGTTTCGATGAGAAGGCTAACAAATAAAAATGATTAATTTCACCTGATAACAAAATGAGTCAATAAATAAATACTCACTATCTTCCGCTCGAATAGCATCTACAGTATGTTCCATAGTAGGAGCCGTCCAAGCATACAACTGATACGGCGTAGCAACACGTTCAAATGGATGTCGTTGATTACGCTTCTTTTGGAGAACGCCAAAGTGCCGCTTGAACATCGGGCTGACCTGACTCAACAGCTCAATCAACGAATGACACAAATGACTTGGCGATGACGGTTTCGGATTAAAGTCTTCATCCGATGACTGGTTGATATAGAAACCTCTGGAGCACGCTGAGATATGATAGTGCTTCTCTTCGAGAGTAACAACGTATAAATACATGAGATCGCCATGTATCTTACGGTTGCCTGGCGGTGGATTCCATGCAGAAGTTGTCAGTACTTTTACGCACTGTGGAGCTTTCTGTTCCTTGTTGATTGGCTGTAGTGCCGACAACGGCCTCTCCTTGCTATCAGGCATGATGTACTCTGGCGGAGTACAATCCACGCTCTCAGCTCGCATCTTCTTCTTTTCGAGAATATCGCCCTGCGTGATTGTGTTGAGGAAGCTGAGCGAGTTGCATTCGACGCCATTATACGCATCGGCCGGATCAAGACTCTTGAGTAAGTCACGCACGTGTCGAACATGGATGCGTGCTTCGCGCATCGTGTACGGTTCTTCAACGACCTTGATCGTTGATCCTTCCTTTAAACCTTCCACATTTTTCAACTCCGCGAAATTGTCCAAAGTGTTGCCGTCCAGTTGTAGTGAGAAACACGTGCGATGGCATGTGTCTTCGCGATCCATTAGAAGCTGGTGGATTTCTTGTACTAATTCCATACTAGACACTTGAATATCAAATGGTTCCATTCCAGGGCAAACGATTTTTACAGAAAAACCGACATCTTGGATGAAAATGACTTCGTCTTTAGTTTTACCCTCTGACTCGGATTCGTCTTTCTCTTTCTCTTCGACGTCGTTAGCAACTTTTGTTTCCTTGCTATCTGGATCCGCATGCCCATTTTGTTCTGTCTTAATGACATTTTCCTTCATTTCTGAAAAAACAAAACATAACACATGTTTTGTAAATAAAACAAATTCTAGTTTTCAAATTATATTTCGCGTACGGTCGGTTGCATATAGTTGCATTCAACTTTGCACACATTCCAATAAGTACAAAGTCCATGCTTTTGCCATGCATGTTTTCCAACTTAGAAATACTTTACAAACTCAATAAAAACAAGTAGTGTCTTTTAAGAACCAGACTAATAATATAAATCAAGATTTTATGTAACATAATGCGGCCGAGTGTCTGCCTCTCTCTGTTGGGGTCCAAGTTCAAAGATAAATGTTTGTCAGTTAATTAACAAGTTGCGGTGCTTTCTAAGCAACACTAAGGGTGTCTGTCCACGCCCAATATGCAAGACACTCAGACGCGTACCCGTCCAGATGCCATCTCCGAAATAAACTCCGCGGAAATTATTTTAAAATCGGCATCATCGGCACCATCCGATTGGCTGCGATTGAGGTTAACACGCGTTACGTAATGCAAGGTCGCAAAGCGCGTTGGAAGATTTACGCTGCCGTTAAAGAAGCTTGTCGGTGCAAAAGGTTTGTAATAATAAGGGTTGGCTGTGGTGGCACTTACCGTCAGCCTGTTGTTTAGTGTCTTTCGGCTGATTCTCGCTGTCGGCGTCGCGCTGCTTGCGCTCCTGAGCCATGACACAGTCTTGCTGCAACACTGCAGCACTATCCAATGACGTCGCGAGTTCCCTGAAGATCACTGGCGTCTTTACCCTTGGCTAATAGCCACTGATCAAACTCCAACACGGGATGAATCAGGCTAGGAGAACGCGTGCGGCGCGATTTCAACTGGTAGGGCGAACCGCTGCAGGAACAGCGAGCATTTTCTCTAAGCACGTGCTTCCCTCGGACGGTCTCTCCCACTAGTATTCGTTGATCTTCTGCGCATGCGCTTTGGCACAGCGCAATGCGCACTACTCTACCGGTTTCAAATAATTGTGGACAATTTAAATTTACTATCAATTAAGGCTGAAATCAAACTTATTGTATTGCATAAGTATCACACTTAGAAATTTTCTCAAAACCTATTTAATAAATCAGATACAGCGATGTTTTGGCGCGCACAAAAGTTCCATCAATTGCCATATAAGTTAATATTTTATTCCGTAGATGGCGCCAGCAATTACAACAATAGTTAAATTAATCTTTAGAAAATATATAAAAGTGAAGAATTAGTAGACTTGTCGCATCAATGCAGTGTAAGAGTATGCCGCTCGTAAAATCTAAAAAAACACAAACAATTAAACTTAATACTAATAACAAATATTAAATATTGATAAATTTACACTAATTGCGGCTGATGTAGACATATAAAAAAATGCTCCAATATTTAACAATAATGGCTTTTGAGATCTCATCATAACAAACTGGAAATCTTTCTTAAATTCTTCATCGTAATTGTACCAATCACTGCAGATAATTGTTTCTGCTATATTTTGGCTCTAAAAATGAAATTAAGTTACAAAATAAAAGTAAGTATGGTTACAGCGTACTTCTAAAAGAATTTCATTGGCATGCCAGTAAAATAACATCATTTGGATTAGTATTCCTGCTAAATATTCAACGGCCGAGAACATCATGAGTTTTTCATTACCAAACTAAAATTATGAGTGTTTAAACTTGCTTCAATAAATTTCAAAGATATAGGTAGGTATTACGAAGAGAACTCGAAGAACTGACGCTCCGATTTGTGCAGAACAAATGAAGAAATCGATTAGCATAAGGAAATTCATAGCTTGGTCCAGATTATATACAAAACTAGAACCAAATTAATATATGCTACACAAAATACACGACAAAAATAGTTCAATATTGTTAACCTTAAAATTATAAATTAAAACAATACCTGATAATAGTTTTATGTAACATTATGCATTTGTTAACAACAAGTCTCATTGCTTGTCGTTGACTCATCCAGCCATTCACTGCCATAGTTGCTTTAACATGATTAGTAATATTTTCAATTTTATACTTCAAAATTTCTAAATTCATCAGCGCAAAAGTCATAAAACTCCACAAGAAAGCATCCGGAGCAACAGTTATAGTAGCCCCATAAGTCCCACCCATAAATTGAATAAAATACGCAATCCAATAATGATTTCTCCAATCAAACGGAAACCAAGAACCAAATATCAACGTTCGTTGATAAATCTCGTTTTCATCGCGCTCAGAATAAATCCAATCGAGATAATTCAAAGCAGGGTTAACAAACCACAAAACAATCGTAAAACTCCAAGAAATAGAATCAAAATCGACAATTTCTGATTGTAACTTCGATATTTCTCAAATATTGTCTTCATTGTCTCGTCTTCTCCTTCAAGGATGACTTTTTCAACAGCGCGTACATCGTGTACCAAATATTTGATACGTGGAGCCATGAGTGTAAAAAATTTAATACAACTGCTAATGTATAACAGAGTTACAGAGAGATTTTCGATGAGATGCGAGTAGCGCTTTTCCATGTAGACGATAGGAATCTCGATGATTTCGGAGAGATTGAAGCAGAGGAAAAATATAAGCACAGCGTATTTGTATGCGGTATAGCAGCGACGTTTTAGGGGTGTTGTGAACTCAACGTGAGCTAGGCCCAAGACAAATAGACCCCACATTGCTGCACGCATGTGCTGGTCTTTGATAATTGCCATTTTGTAAGCAAAGTGATTATTACTGCGAGGTATACAGGTTAAAGAGCAGCAGATAGTGCTTGGGGCTGTTATAGGCGCGTCATGGCGGCACAAATTCAATTAAAAATAAATTGAACTGTTGTAAAGTCAAAGGAATCTGATCAGTTCACATATCAAATTTTAAAATCAGTGTGATTCAGTTGGTTTATTGAATATTTCATTGTGACTTTATTGATTTTTCCTAAATTTTTATGATTTTCATGTAAAGACGTGTTCGTTAATGAGAAAAAACATTAATTAATCATTTAATTTGTTTTTTCAAGAGACATCTTTGCATTCAATAAATAATATTTAATTTTGATTTCCACGCAGTATATTAGTACTAAAAATTATAAATTAAATCAAAATATGTTAATTTCGGAAATATTATATGTGTAACATGTTACAAAATATGTCAACATCAACAGTTCCTTTTTAGTGGTAACGATCGTTTCGTAACTATTGGCATAACATGAAATAATATCAAACGCACTTCTGAATAGGTGCAAAACACAAAGTAAATGTAATTAATTGCACACAAATATAATTTATCATAAAGTGCTTAAAAATATAAAAATAATTTCCCACATACTTCATACATTTAAAATCATACAGCCTAATATTAATTTTTTTAATATTAAATCTTTCAAAATCTCGTTTAACTGTACGCTTGACGCATCAAAGCAACATACGAATACGCCGCTTGTAAAACCTGAAATTCAATTACACAATTATTCTGCACTTCAATTTTAAAACACGTCTGTCAACTCACCGAAAGTGCAGTTGTAGTAGACATCGCATAAAATGGTCCAACATTCAAAGTCAATGGTTTTTGCGCTCGCAACATAACAAATTGCAATGATTTTTGTACATTTAACGGATACGAATAGACTTGTCCTTCCCAAATTGCAATAGACACATCTAAACTCTACAAAACACAAATTTTACAATACTAACTATACAATAAACATAGTACAAATACTTACTTCAAGAATTATTTCATTTGCATGCCAATAAAACAAAAATAACTGCCCCATTATACTTGACAAATATTGAAGACTAGAAACCTGTGCAATGCCAAATCCACTCTAAAAACAAAAATTCACAGAAACTTTTTTTGTTGCGCAGAAATTCTCCGCAATTTCGAAATACTTACGACGATAACTTGAATTCCAACCACGCTAATTAACATGGAGCAAATTGCAAAATCCATCAGCATCAACGGCTTCATCAAGTCGTCTACATCCGTTACGTAACTGTTAATATAAAATTACATAACAACATAACGCATATATGATATTATACCAACATACTTGATAATAATTTGATGTAAAATGATACATTTCTTCATGCAATGGTTAACGGCTTCATCACTGCTCATTTTACTCTTGTCCATTAGCGCCAGAGCATGTTTACCTAAATTTTTAAACTTGTACTGTAAAATTTTGATTTGTCCAATGGCAAAAATCATTAACGCCCAGTAAAAGATATCTGTAGTGCCAGTGAGGAATCCACCCATAACACCAGCAAAGAAATGAAGTGTAAAACTAGTTCCATAGTAGTAGTTTTTATCAAATGGTAAATAACTGCTGAATGGTAGTGGTTTATCAACTGTACCATTGCGAACTTCTTCTGATGTGAATAAAACAATTAAAGGATTTATAAAAAATGGCGCGAGGGTAAAGAAAACTATGATTATGAAAGCTTTGCTAAGTTTATCGTTCCATTTAACGTGGTATCTGTAGATGTGTTTTACTGATTCGTCATCACCATGAAGAATTGTTTTCTCAATCGTACGGATTTGTTCGACGATTTTACTCATTGCAGTGCTGCGTATTATAAACGTCTTGTAAAATGTTACGGTGTATAACAATGAAACTGAAAGGTTGTTCACCAGATCGAAGAAGTTTTCGTTGATGCGTTGTCCAATGTCAATGTATTCAGTTATGACGAATACGCCGAAGTAAAGAAACATTACTCGGCTGTATAATGCGTGTAGATATTCGAGTATTTTTGCGTTTTTGAATTTTAAAGGCCACGAACCGAACACTACCAGACTTCGAAGACATATCTTCATGTGTTGATCATGTTCCATTTTGTCTGATTGTGATTTGTGAGTGGGTACTTTGCGAATGAAGCAAAATGCGTAAAATAATTCGGTGTTTTTATAGTTGTTGTGGGATTTTTTTTAGTATTTATGCAAGTGTGAAGAAAAAATTGAAGACAGGTGCGAATTCAAATCCGTTGGTAATTATCGCGTTGAAGTGGATTATTTATTAGACAAATGAGGAAGTTGCGTCAAGAGAATATTAGAGAGTATAAAAAAAATGTTATAAATTTTGAAAGAGTGTGTTATCGTATGTGTATGGACTGGATTGAAGAGAGGTGTGGTATTAAATGTAATACTGAAGAATTCTGGGAAATTATGTGGGATGAGTAAAAGATAATTGGGCAACGCTTTATTAATTTTGACCTTCAATAGGTTCAAAGTAAAGTTCACGGTTCATAGAATCTTTTCAAATTGGTGAAAAACTATTGGTAGGAAAATAATACTTTAATAAGTAAAAATGTAATTTTGCGAAGTGAATAGAGAAAATAGCGTGGGAATGAAAATTATTAACGTTTCTCGGAAATTTTATTAATTTTGCGATATTTTGCCGCATTTTGCGATTATTATTGTAAATATTCAGTGCATAATATACCCTGAATAGAATATTTTCTATATGTTGTTGCAAGTGATTTTAATATTTAAATTCTACTTGATTGCACTTTTTTCTACTTTAAATCTATATGTCAATCTAATTATATACTTGACGCATTAATGCAACATAAGAATATGCCACACGCACAATCTGAAACATTTAATACTCTCAAATATTTCATTATTACCTGTTTTACAGCACTTACAGAAATTGCAGTGGTAGTAGACATAGAATAAAAAGGTCCAACCTTCAAGTTCAATGGTTTCTGCGCTCGCATCACCACGAATTGCAGCGATTTTTGCACGCGCAACGGATATTCATAGAATTCTCCTTCCCAGATTGCTATTGCAACATTGGAACTCTATAAAAATAAATAAACATACTTCTTAAACTGAACAATTTTTAAAATTAATAGAAATGAAAATAAATGCTTACTTCTAGAATAATTTCATTGGCATGCCAATAGAACAAAAACATCTGCACCAACATCGCCACTAAATATTCCAGAGCGAATAATTGAGCAAAACCAAAACCAGTCTGCGTAAAATTGAAATTATTTATTAATTTATAAAATTATTTTTATAAAATTACGACTAATAAGTAATTAATACTTACAACAATGACTTGGAAACCAATTACGCCAATTTGCATTGAACAAATACCAAAATCCATCAACATTAACAACTTTAATTTGTCATCCACACCAGTTACATAACTGAAATTAAAAATAAAAAGATCAATAACAAAACACACAATAACTGAATTCAACAATAAATAATTTCTTACTTGATAATCATTTGATGTAACAAAATACATTTCCTTACACAATGACTCACAGCTTCATCCTTATTCATTTTCTCTTTTCAACAAAGCCCTGAGCATGCACACTCAAATTTCTAAACTTATATTGCAAGATTTTCATTTGTCCAATCGCAAAAATCATCAACGACCAGTAAAATATATCAGTATCACAAGTTAAATATCCACCAACCATTCCAGCGAATACTTGCATTCCATAACTCCATCCATAGTAATAATTTCTATCAAAAGGAAACCAACTACTAAACGGCAATGGTTTATCCATAGTATCATTCAAACCATCAGGCATAGTCATCAGTACAATAACAGGATTAACAAAAAACGGCAAAAGTGTAATTCCAGTAATCATAATAAATCGTACACTCAGTTTTGAATTCCAACTAACATGCGATAAATAAATCTGTTTAATTTCTTCATCGTCACCTTCAAGTATTATCTTCTCAATTGTACGGATTTGTTCGACAATTTTACTCATTGCACTGCCTCTGATAATATAAACTTTATAAATTGTTACTGTATACAATAAAGACACAGATAAATTGTTTAAAATGTCCAGAAAATTTTCGTTCATACGGTTTGCAATCTCAATGTATTCGGTGATAACAAAAAGATAAAATATATAGAAACTAAAATAGTGTAAAGAAAATGTAGATGATTTAGTATTTTATAAGTTTTAAACTTCAACGGCCATTGTCCGACAGTAGCAAGAGCACGAAGGCAAATTTTCAAATGCAAATCGTTTTCCATCTTGCCACAAAAACAAAACAAGAGCAAATGTGTCCTAAACTATCCTGTGCAATATATAAGCCAAAGTAAAATAAGTAAGAAAAAATAGAAGAAGAAAGTTTTATTCTTAATTGCACAGCGTCGTATATAATTTGCTGCTGTAAACAAACATAGCAAGAATAAAAAATTGACGATAATGAACGAGTTGGAAGAAGGGTTGAACCGTGTTGTTTCTTTCAAAACATTTTAATTGAGCGTCTTGCTTGTGATTATTAATATTGCAGAGTTTTTGGACGTCGTTTGCTTCAACAGCGTGTAAAGACTCTGAGTAGATTAAGTCACCGAATATTTCATGAGATATTAATGGAAAAAAAGTTACTAAAGGGTTTAGATATTCTTTTGGTAGATTATATCAACTTACTTTGATTTTTGTCGGTGAATAAATAAGTTTTAATGTTACAAAAGCAGCAGGTATCTTAAAACGTTATTTTTGTGTAATGTTGGTTGCCTATATTCTGACTATAATATTTTAAAGAGTTATTTACATATTTCGCTGATTTTTGTAAGAAAAAAATGAGCAAATCATTTAAAATAATCTTTAAATTAATTTCGTATGTATAATAATAATAATTAATTACATAAGACACCTACTGACTTAAAAAAATGAAGTGTCACTGAACAGTTTTGATTAACTTGTTTCAGATTAATATCCTCTGCGGCAATTAATTCGTATATTAATTAATGAAATAATAGCCTTATGAAACTGAGAGAAATATAAATACATCGCGGTGGCATCGTCAAAGTATCAGTGTGACCACATCCAGCACGAAAACGCAACAGTCGATCTTAGTCAACATTCAAAAAAGTTTGAAAATGGGTTTCCTGAAAGCACTCCTCATCTGCCAAATCTTCTTCGTCATCGGCATGGCCTCCACCTCTGAAGCCTGTAAATAAATCAATCTATAATCAATTACTTAAACTATTAATAACTGTTTTGTCCTTTGTTTCTGCAGCGATCATCAGAGCAGGCATTCAGTTGGTTGTCAAGCCAGCCATTCGCATTGTCAGGTTCTTCCTGACCTTGCCAATCAGACTAATGATCAGAGCATTCAGAATCTTGGTGAAGGTGGTCGTTGGAACCCTGCGTGGAATTGCTGAACTCACTGAATCATTGTTCTCCGTTGGCCGCCATCGTCCACGTCGCTCTTTGCCTGATATGCCTGCCCAGCCCAGCGAATTGGCCGCCACCAACAGCAAAGTGAACCTTCTTGGCCCCGGCGGTATGCTCGTAGCCGCCAGCAAGTACGTCGCCTAAGATGTGTGTTTTCGTGCGATACCATGATCACCACCCCCCGGCACGCTCAACTGACCTCCGTCCACCAATGGCACTGCTTTCTCTTTGATTCTTTTAATTGTTAATTCTTTTCCTGTTTTCTTATGGTTCTTTCGATTCGTTGTAATTACTTCACAGCGAAGTGTTATGGATTTTAAATAAACTAACTGCATGTTGACTCTGAAATTATTATTTTTATATTTTTGCCTGAGTATTTGAAGAATACATGCAGGGTTAGTTGCATATCACAATTATATTAGAGCAGTGAGTAAAGGTTAATATTCAATTTTCTGGTAAATGAAAAATATAAAAGTCTTTTTAAAGAATAATAAGTGGATTTTGTTAAAACTGGCAATATCATCTTTCTAGGAATAATAATAAAGCATTTATTGATGTGAATATAATCTAGTTTGATGCCTGCAAGTCAAATATATAAATTTATTCCTGTTCCAGAAATACGGAAAAAGTTTAATAATTTGAAATAATTTTGAAAAATTGAAAAATTTTGCTATACACATACAATTACTTTGAGAAATAAAACTTTCTCAGTTTTTCTCACATTAAAATAGGATAAAAGTTTCTTAATAAATACAATAATAGTTTTTTAGTTTATATTTTGTCTAAATAATCACATATATTATTCATTTCCGTATTAACTCCGTTTGATATTACGATGGAAATAAATAATACTTTTTGTTATACACTTGATAAAAGAAACTAAAATATGAATATGCAACCAACTATACAGGCATAGCAATTACGATGTAGCCTATATTCTGTATTTCACTTAATTTCGTTTGTTTCATTTGGTAATTAAATTTTATTTTATATTCATGTACAGTGATATGCAAAAAAATCAATAAAGACAATTAAATTCCAATTAATTAAATACCAATATTAACCCGTCATAACTCAACAAAAGTTTAATTATATAGTTAATAATAATGTTGTTAATGTGTCACGCTCTACCGACTAGTACCTATAACAATAATCATAAATTGCGAAGTCGTTCCATTGCCAGTGAGCTTTAGTTTTTGAGAAGTCGTGCACGTTGCTATATTTTCTTACAACGAAATATCAAGATGAATAAGTACGTCTTCGTGTTCGCAGTCTTCTTATTCCTGACATTGGCTACGCCTTCAGGTATTATTATTATTATTATTATTATTATGTTATAATATTTATAATTATAATTTTAGATGCAATTTTCTTCAGATTATTGAAACCTCTTATTAATTTCTTCGGTGGAATTGCCAAAGCAATCGTTATGTTCGTCTCAGGTTTGATAAACGTGTTTCTGGGATATTCCTACGTTAAGGGCATAGACGGGTAGGAAACTTTTTTAAATATTACCTGAATTAATGTGTTTGATGTGTTTCTTTTTTTGTATTTTACAGAGCCAGAACTGTGAACTATAATTAATGTGGTTTCGGATATAAACAACGATTTGATACATATTTAAAAAGTGTATTAGTATGTATAAAAGGATTGAAGTAGAAAATCAACACAAATAAACATATTATATTAAATTGTTAAGGAGTTAAATTAATCTGATCCAAATTTAGCCACTTTCATAAATCCCTGTGTTAATACAATATTGCTTTCTTGACAAAAAAGTAAAAAAATTGAGAAATAATTCTGAATACTGAGAAATTGTGATCGAAAATTATTTTAAAAAGTTTAAACTCTCGGCCCTGTTGAAAAGCTTTTAGTAAAAACATTTTAATAAAATATTATAATTCAAAAACAGTCAAAACATTTAAAAAACGGACATTATCATTCCCAATGGCACAAAAAAGTAATGTGTGTTGCCTAGCATTGTAGAAAAAAATTGTACGTGAACAATAATATTTCCTGAAATAAAAAGATTTTTACCACCTGATGCAATATTTGCATTTAAAGAAAATATAGTTTTAGTTCATGAACTCTCTGATAAAATTATATATTTAAATTTCCTCAAAATATTAAAAAAATATCAACTGTTTCTTTAAAGATTAAAAAGAAAAGCAACTCCTAAGCCGTCTTAAAACCGTCGCCAAAGTTGTCACTTCACCCCACATTACCATACGCCGCCATCTTGAAATCCACAAATTAAACTCCTGCGCAGCGATGCATAGACAATATGCTCGGCTCTGGTGTAACAAGTTAAGTTTCTCACACGGAATCCAAGCGAATTTTGCCAAGTCACCGATTCGTCGTTAAGCCCGCCGAGGGCGGCATTGAATTGATTAAAACCACCGCATAATCGCCCACTGTTAATTAGCATAATCACCAAATTATTGTAGAACATTCAATAACCCACATTAAAACAATAAATAACACTAAAATTCAACTAATTTATGATGCGATTATGACCATACATCGTGTAATATGCCATCATGAATACATTTAATTCTTAATTAATTAAATCAACTCATATACCACAGATAATATCAAAAAAGCACATTGAAGTTAATCATTCGATCTGTATTCATCAAGACGAGCACATCATTGCCAAAAAAGATCGAAAATGTTGCTCGTTGTTGGATTAGCTATTTTATTAGCAAGCGGTAAAAAATCATAAAATTAATTTCCTAAAAATGTAAAATTGTAAAAACTTTTAAAATTTATTTTAGCGCATGCGCAACCAGTTGAGAATGCGAAGCAAAGTACTGGGAAAGCAGAACTGAAACCACTGATCATGCCTACTGCAAGACCAAAGATAAATTTTCAACGTCCGAAGGTGCCGGCGCCTCCACCAGAAGATTTTACAGACGATGACGGCGATGTACCGAATGATGTCGAGTTTGATTATAATAACAACCCTGACAGTGCAGAGAATAAAAATTTAGAACAAGCACAACGTAGGATCATCTCACCATTACTGAAAAATGTCAGCCAGATGATAGGAGCTGGAACGGTGACTGCCGGAGTAATATCAAGCGTTGTAAAACCTCTCACAGAGGGCCTTGTTGGTAAAATGATGGACTACGCTGTCAGTCAGATGAATTCAAAGAAGCCTGTTAGTCGCATGCTGGTTTTAATATTGGAAGCGTCTAAGTTTATTATGGAAATGATGGACTTTTTGACAAAGCGTGGTAGTTTGATTCAAAAGATCATCGTGGTCATCTTGAAGTTGTTAAGCGGAACATTGGGATCATTCAAAAATCTTAAAAATTAATTAAAACGTTAAATGTGAAAGAATCTGTATTTTACTCCTTGGTGTATTAACACGACCATCTAAATAATTCAATTGTTTGTATTTCATTGTTTTTCTGGTTAATTACCAGATAATAACCTGATTGTTTCACGCTTTTTGTAAATTATACTGATAAGATACTTTTGTATAAATAAAAAAGTATAAGTCATGAAAATTCATATTTGTTGTAGACTATAGACAATGGCGATGTCTTATTTCTTAACTTTGACATTTGTTTTGGGGGTTTTAAATGTTTTCTTGGTGGATAAAGCTGAATGTATGTAAAATATAATGTTAGGCAATGTAGGCAACCAATATTATACCATAACCTGTTTTAATATAATTAGATGGGATAATTATTTAATTATTTTTAGGCCAATATGGACACTATGGACAACCGCAACCACAAGTGGTTGTTCAGCGAGTTGTTACGTCATCATTGGTCAGTCCGCAGACCACCGAGTTGATAACAGCGGTTTTGTTTCCGTTGCGAGTATTATGTTATATTTCGAAGGTTATTGCTCGCACTTTCTTAGTTTAACTTGTTCAAATGTGAAAGGTTTTATTGATTAATATGGTATTTATACGTGAATAGCTTTGATAATCACAAAAGAATATTGTTTGGTGTGAATTTAAGAAATAAAGCTAATGCATATAAAGAACTTATTTACTTATACTTTGATGCAAATTACTTAAGAATGCATGTAAAACATGGTTCCTTCTGTTTTTCGTCCTTGAACTTGTATATCTTTTGAAGTTAACAAATTATTCCGCTTTTATTATAATGATTATAAAATTAAACTAAGAATATCAGACAAAATTTAATCATAACCTAATTTCAGTATATTAGGTTACGTTTCGAGTTAAATATCATAATAAACTAATATTAAATATCTGTATTTGATATTATTGATTAGTAAAAACAAAAACATCAAGCAAAAAGTAACCAAATCACACACTGTGATTGATAACATCCATAACCTCAATTAACCTCAATTACCAAATACCCGCAGTCTCATCATGTTAATTGAATAATTTTATGCCTCATTATTATGACGCCTGTGTAATTACGCTCGCAAATATGATATAAATCGTGCACAATGCATCTTTATTTACAGTTTACTTAATTTTGTTGCTTGGTGTGTTAGGAGATACTTGGTGCAGCACAATGGCGAAATTTTTAAGTCTTCTTCACACCGTCGTGATCTTGGGGCTTATGGTTCTCATCTCAAGAACACAAAGTAAGAAATTAATATAAACAATAATACTTTCTAATAAATATAATGTACTTTGATAAATTTAAGGCCAAATGATACCAGCATTGGGGTATCCAGGTCCCCAACAGCAAGGTATGTATTCGCAATAACTGTAATAACTGTAACAATGCTTAATACAAGTTATCCAAGGTTATCCAAATCCTCAACATCAAGCTATGTATCCACCACAACCTGCACCACCAATGAGACTTCCCCCACCACCACCAGTGGCAGGAGCAATTGGACCTCCCCTGCCACCAGCACAGGTGCCGCCCCAAACATCTTGGTTACCAGTGCCGCCACCTACGGATCTTTTGAGCACTTTTCTTTTTCCATATCGATTGATTTGGTTTGTCGCTAAGCTCCTGATGCGCACTTTCCTTGTTTGATGAATAATATTATAATTAAATCATAGCAATAAATGGAATCTTTGGATTTATTCTTGTTTTGGAGATTTTTAATATCGGAAATTACCAAAACAGAGTTTTGACGTGTCGTAACCTAACCCAACTTTTAAAATATTAAATTTGACCTCTGGCACTTGAGTATAACTTCATTGTTCATTGTGTAGATTTTTTGACGTTTTAACAACAAAATCAATGTTTATTTATTACCATATAATAAATTCATTATTTTTACTTATTCAACTACTTTTCCATTCTGAGTGCTGTGTATGCAACCTATAGGTACTACACAAATCACACTAGTTGATTAATAAAATATGTATAACACTGTAGAAAACAAAAATGCTAAGAATGATGTAGAAAGTAAGATCAACTTTGCGACATCATAAATATATCCAGTAAAACGAGTAACAAAAGAGCTCGATTTAGGTTTTAATGCTGTACTTCCAACTACAGGCGGAATTTTTTCAATTGTTGGGCTATCTGGTATAGTTGCTAACGAAGAATCAGATGAATCAACAGATTCGACAACAGTTGGTGTTACACCTTTTCGTGTATTAGTTACCCATGGCCACAATAAGTTTGGAAGCTTTGGAAGCGCTAAAAAAGAAAAATTATTTACATTTTTACATAATCTAGGCAACATAATATACAATATACAGTATTCATTAGGTGTAATAACTACTATTATACATTTTACTGTTTGCGTAAGACACAAAACAACCACACAAACAATCACCACTTTTGTTAATGGTCTTAACATCTTGTACAAAAAGAAACGAATGATTAAATAAAATCGGAAATGGAGTGTGTACAGGTTTAAATAATAAGTATAATTAAACAATTAAAAGAATTAAGCGTGAAATTGTCAATCAATGTAGTGCTGTTGATTATTCTAGTTTATGACTATCTGCGTAGGTGTTGCTTTTACTCACTGGCAAATTTATCTCAGCACAAATTTAATTACTTAACATTAAAAATTCGTAATTTTCCGCGATTTTGAGTTGGATATGTTTACATCTGCCACATTGCATTTCATAATTAATTTCACAACAGACAAACTATTCCGGTTGAATTGCGATGTAAATATAAATAGTATATTTATTGTGCGTCTAACTTCTCGTATTATTTACATAGAAATTTCGCAAAATTTCAAATGCAAATACAAACACACAATCCACCCACAAAGTTAGATGGGAAAATTATTATTTTCTCAAGAAGAACGAACACGCACTGCACAAACATTCCCTGCGCTCAAAAATCGTGATATTACTGCATACCGCAGTGGAAGAATATCAAATCGCCGAGGGACGATGCTGTTTGCACTCGTTTGTCTCATTCAACAGCGCAAAACAACCGAAACAATCTAACAATCGCCCGAGGCAGGTTTGATATACTCGTAACCTACAATAAATCTAAAATTTAACTTTTTAATACTTTTAAGTGTATTTCAGTGAGTTAATAACTAAATAAATTATTCTGTTTTTTTTTTAATTCTTAGAAATGTGTATAATTCAGGTCTGATTATACGAATTAATCAATTTTCAGGCCGCCCTCGGGGACCATTCGCATTCATTCCGGAAGTGAATTGCGTTTCGCACTTGAACGCATTCATTATATCACTGAATCCAACTGCAAGGTTGCAGCTTGTATGCTAATAACGTCACAACCAGCGCGTTACAGCCCTATCAATCGTGAACGCATAACATGCGTGTATCAATAAAATCGTGACGATTGCGAGTGTTAAATTTATTGTGTAGGAGTGTTACGTGCCAATGACGCAATAATAAACATACTGTTTTTAAGAACTACTCTGGAATATCATATTTAAGTTTATATTTTGATTCTCAAAAATGCCAATAAGATACGTAGGTTATTTGTGAGTTTGAACACTGACAAAAATTTTGTTAGAAATGCTGATAGTTACATGACAATTGCAATGAAAAATGTTGGTATAAATGTGATGTGACGTGTCTTTTTCAAGAATAAAAGCTAATAATAGTTATTCTTCTTCTTATTGAATGAATAAAGTAAAAATGACCCAGAAACATAAACAAATACTGATTTATAATTCTATTTCTAGAAAATACAGTATAATGACTACAAATACAGAATGAACTACAAGGGGATTCTTTCTCGTAATCTGATTAGGTTTTTGTTGCGCAAATTACGCAAAATACTCAAAGACTCAAAAGAAACTAACAAAATTATATGCGCATATGATTGTAATATTATCGCCTAGTTAATATCGCGATTAATTTTGTTACACACCATAATTCCGCACTAAAAACACTCGTAATCCTGCAATACTATACGCGTGTGCATATTGTTACGGTTGTAAAATATCGTATACAATAGAAGTATCAAACTATCACAAAAACCTAACCTAATACACCATAAAAACAACACTATCGGTTGCTAGGGTTATTTTAGGTTACGGTTAGTTGAAATGTAATACGTGTCTCTACAATTAGCACCCAGTGGTGCGATTGTATAACCTCCAAATTACGTATTTATAGCAAGATACGTAATTTAGCACTACAACAATATCAGTTTACATGCTGGAGATTCGAGTAGCTGAAATTAACTAACAGAGGAATTAATATGACAAACTTGTACTTTAAAAAATACTAAACTATCTTCTAGGCCTCTGAAAGGATAATTTTTATAAAGAATTAAAAAATTTTCAGAAATTAGCCATAGTTAACCCAAAATTAAGTCCCGTAAGTAATGGTTGATGACAACCCACGCGAAGAGCGACGACGTCGACGATGACGGAGGCGGTAGCCGCGGCGGTGGTGGCAGCGGCGGCGGCGCAAGCATAAATACGCCAGCGTCGTGAAATTCGCGCGAAAAGTTTCACCCGAGCGCGCGCCGCTCCACACATCGCATCAAGTCGCCATCGGTGAAGAACTAACTCACCACTCGACTGACTAGTGCACATCAAACAATTCCTGGCGCATTCAAATCTTCATGATACTTTGAGGGTGAGTACAACAATTAAAAACTAATTAAAATATAAATAAAAATTAAATTAAGCGTAAAATTTTGCACGAAATTAGTTTTCATTCACTCACACACCGTGCTGATTTCCTCTGCATGGGTAATTTTCATTAAAGTACCTATCTTACGGCTTCCGGTATTCAATTTACAGGCCTTTAGTGTTTAGTGTTTTGCACTTAATCTCCCGACCCGTGTTTGACACCGTTTTGCATGTATTTATTACGCTTACATATTATACACTGGTTGAAGATGTGAACGCGAACACCTTGACTGTCTCCGCCTCAACTTGTTGCAACTTGCATTAGACACTAACTGGTTGAATGCGATTTCAATCTGGATTTTCTCGCGTCGGAAAACGGCGCTGCGTCTAGTCAAGAAATTTCACATTAGTTGATTAATTAATTTCCAGTTTGTTACGCTAATACGTACCAGATTACGACAGATTCTGAGAAGTGCAAAAGTGTAAATGTCTAAATGTCTTCAATTTGAGGCGTAAATACTTTTGGTGTAATGTTGGTTGCCTAAATATATATCTTATTTTAGTCGGATTATGAAACAATTTGTATTTATTATTGTTTTGTCGCATCGTTCCGCTTGTCGCATTAGATTAAATAAAACAATTTTTCTTACTTGGCCTCCTGCCCCCTCGTGTGTGAGTTATCATCCCAAGATGGATTCGCATTGCGATGGTCATCGTGGTTGACTATGATTGATCGCAGCGGCCCGCGAGATGACAAACCGATTTCCACAATCTATTTGTAATCGATGACGTTAACAAGCTTCCAAAAAAAATACACTAAACAACACGAGACAATAAATAATTGAATTTTAGAGTGGTGCTGTTTTGTAATACAATATTTAGTACATATTAACGAAAAAAATTTTTATAACAAAAGAAAAATTAAAATAAAACAAATAGAAAATGGCGGTGTGTGAAAGTGTGGCACGTGGCTACGTGACAAACGAGAGAAACGCTGGAAAAGATAGTTGGTTGAAACCATTGTTGATTCTGTTATTTCCGTTTGGTTTTAAATCATTTATTGCAATTTCAATACGTGCGTGCATCGAGATTTACATAGTTTTCAATTTTCATTATCTACCTGCGCCTTCAGTTTTATCTATAAATTTTAAATAGAAATGATTTTTAATTTTAATTAAAATAAACTCATTCATAAATTTAATTAATATTTTAACATCCAAGTTGAAACAATGACGTATATTTCTTTTAATCTTTAATTAATTAATAATGACGTATCAATTACTATTTTTAATCACTGCTGTTGATTACGCAGTAGTATATTTTCAATAATCTTAAATTTTTACGACTGACTGATAATTTTTTACGATTGCACATTACAAAATTCAAGTTGAAGGTTAAATCAAAGTCGATTAAACAGCGATCAGCTGCAAATATCAACGAAACAAAGCATGAAATTGTGCCTGATAATAATAAATGAATGTAAATATGCGTGTCGTGCCGTTTTCGCTCTTTAGGGAGCTTATCCGCGTCGCGCACGAAACGCGAAAAACTTTGCGTGCGATTAACCATAAAACGTCTACAAGATGTGTGTAAGTGTACCGAATCATTTCCGTAATTTCATTAATATGATGATTGTAATCAACATTATCAGGCGTTTGTTTTAATCAGAATAATGAGTTAATTAAAACGTTACATAAGCTGAGATGTTTAAACTCAAACAAAGTTTTAGCGTCAAGAGGCAAAATTCAAATTCATTTTGCGATAATTTTAATAATTAATATCACGGACGATCTGCGCAAACATTTCGCCGTTCGTTTCGTTTAACTCTCGACCCACAGCGCGAGGAGATAATTTTTTTTCTTTGCGCTTGATCTTGGAAAGTGAAGAAGCTGAATTTGTTTCCGGACACTTAAAGGCGCAAGAAGTTCCGATACGTAGAGTTAAAAATATTCAAAGTTGAAAAATTATAATTTATTGATCGCTGTTAATCTAACAAGTGTACAACTTTGTTTGCACTTAAGAAATTAGTATTCATTTTGATAAAAGTGATAATAATTGAAATTAATATTTTATTTCTTGACGAAAAATGTAATTTTAACTTCAATTTTCTTTTATTTTCTTGATTGTATTCAGTACAAATGACATTTTTAACCTCAAATTAACTCTGAAGTCAAGATTTACAAGATATGCGCAGTTAATTTATCGTAATATAATGAATAGTTAATTAATTTATTAAGTAAAGATCTGCATGTATAAATAATGCAGATTTTATACATTATTCAATCTATTACCTAGTTTATATTTAATTTTCATGTTTCTCTTGATTTGTGTTAACTTGGTGGCCTACAACATTTGACGCTGTTCCCCTTCTATTTACATTATGTCTTGCGTCGCATACAATTTCAATATAAAAATACGTAGAAATATTAGATTGTGAAATGCACATTCGTAATAAATTGAAGTTTCATCCAATATGCAAATATTGTGCTTGGCGTCTTTGGCCTCCACGTGAAGAAATTGATTTCGATGAAAGCCAACGACGAGCGAATCGCAAATGCCCAACAAAGTGCCGCAACATGCATTTTCTTTGTTTTGCATTTCGATTTACATTTGTTAGCCGCATGCAGCAATGTGTATGTAAATTATAGGCATCTGCCAATCTGGCCAATTGTTGTCTAGTCTACGCTGGATATATCTTAAATTAAATGAAGCCCCATCACGGCTAAAATATTAACTTGGTTAAATATTCATTTTAATTTGGAGATACGCGATGTGTTTACCTGGAGCGACTTTCATCTCAAAGTGTGTCTTGTTCTTGTTTCTGGGAATTTGTGTGCGTGTGATAAAATCAGGTGATGTCGTTTTTCGGCTGCTAAACTAGGATGGCAAGCGATAGACAACAATCAGCCACCCTCGGCGACACGCTCAATATGTTTCGGCTTTCATTAGGGGTTCATTTTCCGTCAACATCGCTCATATTCATAAATAAATTTACTCATACACATATATACTACATAAATACATATTAATATTCTATATTTAGTGTGTATAAATACTGTTTTTTGTAATTTTTGACATTTTGGTAGCTATAATGTCTATTAACCTCAAAATTATACAAATTATGAAAAAAATTGAAACGTAACCTCTTTTAGTAATGTAATATATGAATATTCAAATGCATTCTATAGTAAATAGTATGCATATTACATGTAAAATGAAACTTTTAGACACGTTGAGTGAAACATTGTGCACGAGCCGCAGGCGGGCGATACATCACTCCGAAATGCATGCCAGTGCAACCCAAAACGACAATTTTTGTGAACCTCTTTTGAAATTTGCCAACTTTACGAAAGAACTTTGACAGTAACTCATTTTGAGTTATTTATTTGACTTTCTTTGTTTATTTCTTTCGTTTTACTGGTTTATTAGTTTGAATTTAATTTACACAACCTCAAAATTATAAAAACTTTAGTTTTATAACCACAAAAATCACTTTTTTTTTTAATATGTAAATATTTAATAATATACAATAGTAAATTCAACATAAAAAAGAAGAAGAAAAAACCAAAAAGTTGTAAATTAAAAACTTTTCCACCCTAAAATCCACGCAAATAAAAACATCGTCTACGGCGTGATGTTCAGGCAGAATTCTGTTACTTCGCATTCGATTCGCGCATTGTAAGCATGTCCAACATGCCATCTCCCTTTTTGTTTCTGATTTTTTTGTTCGTATAATTTAAATTAACATTGTTAATATTCCGATGATCTTCTCGGACTCCCTCGCACATTCGAATGTGTTTTCGGCGCATTCCAAACCCACGAGAATTTAAATGAAAAAAGATTCATTCGGAAAATAAACACGAACAGCACTGAATATTTTATTAATGTGCAAATGTCGTTATTGTCTCAAAAATACGTCGGATATTTTGTAAATAAATAAATAAATAACATAAAAAATAATTAATTGAAAAACAAAACTCAATTTAATTAGTTTTTGATTAAATTTATTACGTGGGCAGATACATCGGCACTCAACTTTCAATCGAAATAATTGAAGTAATTAACTGTGTTCGAAAAATGACAAACAAACACTATATCCGCTACTATATTGCTCGTAAAATATGTAATGCGCATACGAGAGTGCGTCCCTATTGAGTTAGTCAACGATGACCCGAGCCATTATGTTAATTAATTGAATAATTCAAATTTGTAAGCAAAGCTCATTTTATAACCTTATATTTATTATAGGCAACCAATATCACACCAAAATAACAAACAGTCAAAAATATATATATAAATATAATACAGAAAATAGATTAAACTTGTTTCATACTTGTTTATTAATAATTCGGTGGTGGTGTTTCTGCGATGTCGCGCAACCGCGCAACTAAAAGCTTTCCGCAACTTTGCACCGCGCGCACATTACACCCTTCTAATGGCCGCGGTCGGTTGACGTAACGAAGCAATATCAACGAGGTTAATGAGAGGTTAATATTATAGAATAGAAAAACAAGTTTACTACTTAGAGTTGAAAACATTGCCTACCCACCGGCACAACAGATGAATTTATTGAAAACGTACATTTATTGTTCCAAACTGGATTAGATCGCGCTGCCGCGAGGTGGAATAATAATCTCTATGGAGCATCTTGAGCTCCAATTAGAAGTTTACCCAGCGGATAATGTCGATTTGCATTGCATAGTGAAATTGCGCGCAACTGTATTGTCTCAGTCAATGCCCAAAGCGCCCGGAGGTTATTAATTAGTCAATTTTGAATAATATATTAATATTTGCAGAAAAATTCGCGCAATTTTCAATAGAAAATTCGCACTTTTTGCGGTGATTTTACGTTGCATTTGCATAAAACATTGAAATAAACAATGCGCATAAAAATGCACTCACCTAAGATGCAGTTGCACTGTCCGCAGATAACCATAATCATAAAAATGCGCATCTTTTACGTGGCATCTTATTACAACTCACTCTTCAGCATTGCGTACGTTAATAAACTTTTAATTAAAGCAGTTTACGCATTTCCTCACTTCTTCATCGACACGGACATTGTATGCAGCGAAATCTGATGGGATTAACTTGAACTTGATCAGTTTCTTATCGGATTGATTAAAAAACTAGACTTTATTAGATCGGTGAGTGATTGGATTGCGAAGAAAAAGCTTATTAGATGCAAAGCGGCCATTTTGCACAAGTATTTGCCCTGGAAGTTTAAATTTAAGGTTAGGTGTGAGATGAATTTTTTAACGTTGTTTTTTCTCAAGTAAATGTTCCTAAAAGCATTCGGTAATTTGATTATGCACCACTTGTGAAGATGCCAACGCGAAATTTTGTAATTAAACTCGAAAAATGTTTTTATCCAGCGCAATTAAGTGTAATTAAGAAAATTTTAGAAGTTAATAGTTACAAAGTAGCTATATATAAATAAATATAGATCTATTTTTTTGTTAAGGTGTGTTGATGACAAAGTTTAATTTTTTTTTCATTGAAACTTTTCACTCTCATCGTTACTCACGTTTCCGATTGCGAGGGAATTAATTAACCGACTTTTGATGTCGACGCAACTTTGATAGATTGTCACCCCTTTTTCTAGACCAAACTCTTTCAGCTGCCTTTTATGTTTGACTTGAACGCATTCCGTCGCGTCGGCGCAAATTAAAGAAATTAACAATTAACGCGCGACTGAAACATCAAACGCGCAACTTTTCGATCTTCTTCTTTTGTTTGTCTTGTGCAGCGACAAATGAAGCCCTTGACATTGCCGAAACGCATGCCTTCACGTAGACGTCTTATTATTTTTGTATAAAGTACAAGATACAAGTGGTGGTTAATATCATAAGATGCAAATATGTACTTACTCTGAAAACGCAATGCATAGTTTCAATGCTTGCAATTGTTTTGTTTGTTTCGCTACCGCGACGCGGCGTAACGACTTTGTCAAAGCCACAACCCACATTACACTAAAGTTTCGGCAAATATGAACTTTCCCAACCCTAATAATAGGACTATTTAACTGTACACATTCGATTCCGGATTAGGTTTCATTCACTTTACTTACACATTACCTACTTAGAAATAAAACGAAAATTAGTAGGTTATTTTGATTATTTTGGTCGGCAACCAAACATACATCAAATATCCAACATGTTTTCATAATGTGCAATAAACCAGAATTATTTTTAATTAAAACTTATCTTATTATAGAATGGCAGTGACAACTACAACAAGCCTCGGCGTGCTGTTCATTGTGGTGGCACTCTCTTTCGCGAGTTGTGCGGGCGGACGACGTGGTCCAGCCGAACACCAGGTGCGTCAAATGCGACCCACGCGCGGTTTCAACGAAATGGAACTGTCAGTGGCGCGAAATTTTGGCAAACGCGCAGTCAATATGCATGTAGTCAACAGGTATGATATTTTAAAACACCGTTTACGCTTAGAAGATTACATTTTAATTGATTGCAGTATTTTGCTGGAATGGTTGGCTCTGGAAAGCAAGATGAAGAATCTGCGACAGCGCGGTAATCTACCGTTGTCCCTGGAGAGCGTACGGAATATAGAAGATAATGCGCCCAGCGATGGCGTTTTGTTAGATGAATAAAACGCGCGTCCCGGCCATTTTGTGTTTGTACCATGCCCGCCCTTACCATCAGCTAGCGAGAGGCTGTAATCGCATAGCTGTGTCATTTATTTATTTGTTGTTCCTTCTCTTGGTTCCATTTCCATTCTTGTCCACTCCCTAGATTACCTTTGACGTAATAATTTATTATTTATATTAAGCTGACAGGAGAGAATGACGAAAATGAGCAGAAAATGCATCGTAACATCGTACTTAGATAACAAATGACTAAATAAATAACTATATATATAAATATGTATCTAATATTGACAAGATGTTGTTTGCTAAATGTTGTACCTTCAAGAAAGATTCTATAATATGAGGAGAGCTAGAAAACTACATTGTTAGAGTTATGAACAAAAAAATAAACGCATTGTTTCATTATGTACAAGCTAATCAAAACTTAATTTAAGATAGTTTTAGTAAAATCTAAGAGAATGTATTTATTGTAGCTGAATATTTATGATCAAAACTAAAAACATTATAGCAAATAAATTATAATGAAGCAAACTATAAAAGAAATTACCTAATTACCGATTGTACTCTTAACCAATAATTTTTGACGCAGTTATTGGCAATATTATCTCGTAAAGGTATGGCACTAGTATTTGATTACATTTTTGTTTTAATTTTTCGTTTAATGTGTTTTGTTTTGTGCGCACTTTCAAAACTTTGCTGCCGAGTTCAATGCGATCGTTGCGCTCTCCTGCTGAATGTTTCTAACCTCACTAAATTGTTAAGATCAAAACTTTATTTTTTAATGTTGTTCACACACAAGAATAAACTTAATATATGATTTAATTGTGTCTTGTCGCATTAAGTAATACACTGTTATTAGATGCATCCACATTAACTAACAATAACTAACAATTAAAATGACTACGTTAAAAAGTGAAGTGGAACTAAACAACTTTTATATTTTCAACTCTGATCATGGTACTGTTGAAGGAGAGGCAGGTAAATCTTTTTGCAACTTTTACCATTTTAAACAAAAGAACTTAATTATCACAGGAACACAAAAAGTTATTATACTACTATCCAAACACAGATCATTTGGATGTGCAAATGAAGACACTGGGTTTGTCAGAAGCAATGATTCAGTTTACAATGTAAATCACTATAAATTCACAAGTAAATGCATATTTAATAATTAATTGTTTATTTTTAGGTCTTTTAAACCAGATGGACCTATTGATGCAATAGGTACTGAAAAGCGAAGGCAAATTTACTTCCAGCCTGAAGATAAATACTGGATGATCATGGTTTGCACTTATTTCAATCAATTTTTAATAATAATCACATTTTATACTTGTTTCAGACATTAAATGTGCCAACAATTAAAAAGAGCAAAGATGGAGTGGACATCACTGAATATTTATCTGATGATGTCCAGAATAATGTCTATCAGAATGTTCTCAAGCAGGCTTATTACATGTATAGATTATTTAATGGAACATTTGAGAGGACATTAGCATCATCAGATGTTTACACTCTAAAAACCAAGCTGGAGCAATTTTTCACAGCTGTGAGTAAACACTATTTTCTTAATTTCTTCTAATTTAGTTCAACAAACACAACAATTAAATTATGTTGTTGTAGTACTTGACAACAATCAGATTACAACATTGTGATCTGTTAAATGTATTCAACGGTATGCAGTTTCTTCCATTGAATCGTCAGACATTCCTAAATGTACAATGCTTTATTAATTCACTGGAATGCAAGCATCCCATAATTAAACATTCGGCGTTCATGTACAATGAGCATTTAGTATGGAGCGGAATTGAACCTGCTGATATGCAGGTTGTTTATCAGTATTTGATCACAACACTTTTACCTGCACACGTGTCTTCTGAATTGTTGTGTGGATCCATGCCGCGTAACGCAGCGTCGCCATTTGCAGCATCTGCGTTACATCATGGACGATTTATTACAGGTCCAGAGAATTTAAAAACTTCGAAGAATATCGGCAAAGTACCTACTGTTTTATCTATACACAAGATAAAAAGGAACCAGATGAATATTTTCTTGTGGTTTATAGAGCTTTAAGTGCTTCTTTGTGTCTATTTATTAGTGGTAAGTTTTCGTTTCGTATAGGCAACTAGTATTACAGTAAAGTTTATGCGTTTATATTTGTATCAGCTACTGAAGAATTAACTCTGGAATTATTCCAAGAGTTGGATGAGTTTATCGGTCCTAATTTAACTGAAGTAGTGTCGGAAATCGCCGAATATTGCACAAAACAAACACCGACGCAAGCAAACATCGCGTCTGAAACAACACCGCGTTTTATTTATTTCAACAAGTTGAACTTGGCGTACAAAAGTACCGTGCATTTGGATAATAAACAAAATGGAAACTTATCCATTACCAAAGACTGCTGTAAAATCATGGCGGATTTGAATGAACACAAAGATGCTATGGGTTATGCAGGTGAAATCATCGTTAAAACGATGAAGGATTATTGGGTTGTTGCGAAAGTTAGCAACCTGCGTGAGTTTTACGTCGGATTGCAGCAAAAACAAGCAAATTTAATTGATATTAGTGGTAAGTTCCACAAAAAAAGTAAAAGAATACCACTGAAATATTTATTTTCAGATGAAGTGGAAAAACTGTGTGAGAATGAATTGAAGGGTATATTTTTCCACACGGTGTGATAGTCAAACAAAAGTTTTATTGTAAAATAAATTAACGTTTTAAGTACCTATAAAAGAGTATATCGTAATGTATTAATCAGATCAAAGAGAATTCGAAGAAAACCCCTGTGAAGAAAATTATTTAACAACAATTGGAACGAATGTGATATCAGTGTGGTTGTAGGCGAAGAGCAGTTTCAGCTGTGAGTCCATGCCGATGTTCTCCACTCGTACAACGTACGAGTCATTCGATTTCGGCTCCTTGCGGCACACAGCAACACCGCAAATGTTCATCAAGTGCTCCTCGCTATCCATGCACGCCAATCGTACATGACACATAACATCAACATATATACGCTTTTCAATCGCATAATGCCCAGGGTGAGATTCACTGGGCACGCGCTCCATACTCTCCTCTTTCTGTGCCATATCAGCGCGGAAGACTGAAGCATCTCCCAGTCTTTGTCCGTCGCTTGTAACGATCGCAAAACGCATACCGGTGTGCACAGCGCGCGGTTCTAAGCCCAAACCATCTGGATGCGAGTCAGACCAGAGGTAGTTGTCAGGCTCAAGAAGCGAGTCCGGCTGAAAGGTGAGTCGCTTAGCATAACCCATACCGATGCTAAGAAGTTTCAACGTGCGCCCGTCGAAGAGTCGCTCGGAGCGATCATTCGGTCGCACGCGGTAATGGAAACCAGGCACGACTCGCGCATCTACATACGTGCCTACCACTGGGATTTCGCACGCCTCCAGGCCGGCCATTGTGTACTTAGTTGGCACATCGCCTAAATCAGCGCCGCGTACAGTCGCACGGCGATGTTCCTTTGCCACTCCTGGCAATAGACTGTAACGGTGGCCTTTAATCATCACATTGCTTACACGTGTGACTACTGCATGCGGGGTGCGAGCTTGTTTAATCGCTACGGCTACCCCTGTCACCGGTGTTGGTTTCGCCACGCCAGTCTCGAAGAACTCCACCTTGGCGATCAGCTTGACTCGCACGCGCTTTTCCACCGAGTGCGCCGACATGCTGCCGCTAATTTCAACCTGTGGTCCCTGAAAGAGTGAGTTATGTTATAGATTTGAGCTCGGTTGGGGTGCGCGCGCGTCGTGGCGGATGCGATCGTGCGTGAGATTGTACCAACTTACGGAGGCGCCCTTATGCGCACACATGGTGGAAGCGGATGAGAGATAGAGAGCCCAGTCGTGAATCCTTCAGGCGTGCGGATTCAACAACCTGTGCGTGCACTGCTCGGCGGCGGCTAACAACAGCATTTGGAATACTGTGATGATACGAACAACAATTTGCGGGATTGATTTCGAGGCGAATGAATTTCATTTCGTTTTTTATTTTTGTTTTGAACTCATGCGGGATTGCTGTGAGCGAATGGCTTCATTTAACGATCAAAATGATGAAAAGGCACAACAAAAGCCCGTCTGAACGTGGTTGATGCATGTGTAGTGAAAAATGTCCCTGATTTGTTCAAACAAATGTCGATGCACGTTCATTTTGAATAAAGTGTTTCGATCGACATTTGCTTCAACACGCTTCAAGCCAAATAAGTAAAAATAAAAAATGTTACCTCTCTGTAAACCTAGTAATTATGATTATCATCCGTACACATCATGATCAAGCACACTTTTCACTCACATGCTTGCTTTGGCACACGCAAACAGCAAATCCCCAAAAATTAATCTTTTCTCTCTATCAATGAATGCCGAATTTAAATCAATCCCAATGTCTCGTCGGTATACGAGTATATAAAGCATGAAATGTACTTATGGATAACTTACTAACCTCGAGTTTGACGACTTCCAGCGTTCCCTGCGCCTCGCGATTTGCATCGAAGATGGTGAACTTGTCGCCTTCGCTGATTAACTCCAATTCAAATGCATATCCTTCAGGGCGGTTGTCGCTCCAGAAATAGTTGTCGTTGTCATTCAAGTGATTTTCGTCCGCTTCGAAGGTAAAACGACGCGCGTAACCACGTCCGATGCTTTGAAGGGTGAGCGCACGCCCACCGAACATGCATGGTAAGCCATGTTTGCGTTTTACTACCTCTCCAACCGCAGGTAATGGCCGCACGCGATATTTGAAGCCTGGAATTACTCTGTTATCAATGTACACGCCGCAAACGGGGAACTGATGAGCCTCAACAGGTGCGATGATGTAACGTGCGGGGAAATCACCGCATTCTGATGCATCCAATAACAGGGACGATGGTTTTTCGGTGGATTTGCGGTGAGGGCGCTTTGTGGTACCATCCTGAACAGTTTTTACTTCCTACGGACACAGAATATTGATATAAATGAGTAAATTACCTAAATTTCCGCCACTAGCAGCCGCCATTTTGAATTATTCAGTTGGTTTGTGTAAATTGTTTAAGTGTTTGGTTTTGTTTCAGTAAACTTACTTGGAATGTTTCATTAAACTCCTGTCCGTAATCAGCGCACAAAGCAGGTGTACAGGGAGGTGGTGACGCACACTGTCCTCTAGTGATTAGACCACCACAGGAATTCTACAAAGATTGTTAAATATTCTAATTGGTTCTTCGAAAACGGTCTGGGTTTTTTTTCTGTTATTTCTAACGAATTCACATGCCATGAATATTAATGACGACTCGGGGTTAATGTTTCAACAAGTTGATGATGAGCGCGATTATCGATCGGAAACGCGACGAGATGTATGTTTATTTACGCGGACGCTAATTATTCATAGGCGAGTCGGATGTATTTGTTTGCTTGCCGTTATTGCAATTATGGATGTTTAACCTCGATAGGTTATCACTCATACTCGATCGGATTGAAAAATATGAAAAATATTTGAATTGACGTAAATGCGGCGAAATTATCAATTAGTTTTTAACATTAATAAATTTATCGAAAATGCAACAAAGTAGAAAATTAAATTTTTGATAGAAAAACTAGAAAAACAAACTTACTTTACTTTGAAACCAGTTGAACAGTTTCGACAACGATTTTAAATAATCAACTTTTAATTCTTGGCTAAACTTCATATTAACAACTTTGAGCACTTATTAAACTCGACTAACCTTGTGAAAGTACTTGTCTCTTCTATTTTATGTTGTTGAGTAAAAGTAGGGAAGTAAGCAAGAAGTGGAAACTTTATTATGAGTGGAAAAATTACTGATTTGAAAAATTCCACAACTTATTATTGCATTTTGCATTACTTATCTATGGAGTAAGTAAGTATTGTTCTAGCAATTGATGCAATTGATAGTATTACAAACAATTTATGCGATAAATTTATTACGTCAGTAATTTATTTAAAATTACAAAGAAAAAAACTAAATAAAATATTATTGTCATTTGTAAAAAATATTAACTTAGCCGCCATTATCCGCACGAAAATATTTATTATCTCTACATAATGAAGCAAAATATTTAAATCTCACGTACGGGAGTTTCTATTCTATTAAAATTTTAAATATTATCATCCCTGAGGCAACAAACGCGCAAATATTATTCAAGAAGTTAAATATCCGCGTCATAAATTAATTTTTCGAAAATTTTCAAACTGCGCGTTAGTTTTTTATTGTTTAATTTAATGAATGCACTTTATTGTGCAAAGATATTAACACTATTGTTTGCACGCTAATATTTATTGTCTCGATAATCATGAAACGTGCTCAGATAATGAAAACAGTGATAGTCTACACAACGCATGATAACGAACACCTACGGTTCCATAATGTAAAACAATATGATGTAACAAATGACTCAGATGTGTGTAAATGTGCAGTGTTGAGTAGTGATAATGTAGTAATGTAATAATGCATTTGTGATGATTCAAAGAAAAAGCACTCACCTGTCGTGGCAGGGCGAAAAGTTCACGCTCAGCATCTGCGTCCTCAAAAAAGGACATTGTAGTCGCACGACGAGATGTCTGCCATACTCGCTGCATCGCGTCCAATTTGGCTTCCTCTTGTTGAATATGCGACAACATTGTTGAATCAAAAATGATTGATTTTGTCAAAAAGCTGCAAAAAAATACAAAAAAAGAGATATTAAACATCCTGTATATGTATTATACATTGTGACATATTTATTCAATAGTTCTGAAATGCGTTACGACGATAAATACTAACAGATAACTGATAACTCATAACGAAAACTATATACATTAATGTAACACTAGTAGCTTATGTGTGTACTTGGAACTGACTTTTCTAGGGCAACAATTTACCTGCTCTAGTATTACTAGTACAATAGCTAATAAGAACCCAAAACTGTCAAGGGACTTTTGTGTATTCTGTCCCTTAGGTCGTTAAATATTTCATTGAAAAGAAAACCAGTTGTGCAGGTCAAAAAGGGACTTTATTTTAATCTCCAAACTCGCTCGCACAGCATGAATGAACTTAACATTCTAGAATGTTGATGCAACCCACAACCATTTCTCACGCACAGTGCAATGCACTTTGATCTCAAAGAACCACAACTCAAAAAGCTGTTATATTTATCAACTACAAAACTATAATATTAATTTATATCTATCGGAAGTTTGTGGTTTTGTAATTGCTATTAATACAACGGCCTCATGAACACAGATATAAAAAGCACTCACCTAAAAATATCTCTTCTCCGGATACTGGGGATGTGTGGAAGACGCACTAACAGATTCAAAAACCTTGTGCACGCTAAAAAAACTTTGCTTTATTTTGTTGAATGGTGTACTTGACCGTGTCGAATTGTTGAATATGTGTGATGAGTATTAATGCACTTTGCAGATCAATTCTCGTAGACTGAATGTGTAGACTGAAATGGTCTGGTCTGCGCACTGGTTGCACGTGGAATGGCGGGCGGACGCGACTCGAGCGGGAATAAAAGCGTCGCGGGGCGTGCGGGATGCGGGCGTGGGGCCGACGAACCCGCCCTCACGATTGGACCCACCGCTCCCAAGCGGCGCCTATGTCTGGCTACGTAGACGCACACCAATTGCGAAACATGTAGTATATTTTTGTCTATTATTTGTGCATGTTATTTACTGGGTTCTACGTTTAGTTTAATTGAGTTAATTTCACGCGGGTTTTTTATTTTCCTTTTTATGTTTTTTTGTTGCATACTTTGTGTTTTGCACGCGTTTAGCACGTGCTTAGTTATAAATAATTTAATTTTGAGGTCAAATGAATACATTTCAAATTCAACGATTGTGTGCATCCAAGATTTCTGTTTTGGTTCTCTCTGGAAAGTCGTTGGACAGGTCGGAAGTGTGAAATGACCTTCTTTCTGCACTGGCATTGCCTTGAATCTCACGCAATGATATAATCCACGTACATGCGTGTAATAATACTATACAAAGTCCTTTAATCTAGAGACTTACAAAATCGGGTACTTCAAATAGACTAGACTAGGTGTAATTGATAAAAATGGTAATTTTTGTGAAAGCCTTGAAGTTTTGAATGACATTTTGATAAAAATAGAATAATAAAACACAAATTATAAATTTAGGGGAAAATATTTAATAAACTGCCGGTTTATAGCGCAAAATACATTAATATGCTTTCAAATCTCATCAATATTTTAGTTTTTTCATATTTTCGTTATAATTTTAGGAGAAAATGAGGTTTGAATACATTTTTCTTAGAACACATTTTCTTGACACATTACATGATTTTGAGGTAACTTTTTATAAACTGCAAGTTTATAATGCAAAAACGTTAAAATACTTTCAAATTCAATTAATATTTTAGTTTTTATTTATAATCTTTGTGATAATTTAAAAAAAGTAAATTTTAAATATATTATAGTCTAGATTGTCAGTAAAATTATATGATTTACGTAGATTATAGGTATTTGTACTTTGATTTCGAGTAATTTGCGATTACAGTTCGTAATTCAATGAATTTGCTGCACGAGGCGCCGACAGCACACGATAGCACAACGCGATTTGTTTGTAAATATTATAGTAACGTAAATGCCTTGCTGCTTTCATATCAAAACCTACGTTATCATCACACGTATTTATTGCGTCGGTACATTAGGTATCACGCGCATACCGCATGCACTAACCGTCTAACGAAAGTTTTATCTCCTCAGGTTCACAGATATGTCAGTAGGTAGCTACTTTTTTGCTGGTGATTAGTTTAGTCATTGGTGGACTTTCTACCTCGGTGTCATTTGCAACCGAATACGAGTGGCTACATTTGAATGCATTCCACGATTAAAATCGCATAGCGTAATTAGAATAAATATAAACAGGTTGCATGCAAAGTGTCAATTAAAACAAACAAATCGTGTTACTCACTTCTGAAAAACGCAGAATATAAACATAGGTATTTTGTGTTGTGTGTTGTTTATGGTTCAAAGTATAATGTATGTAGGTATGTTGTTGTATCGTGGTTTTATTGTCATCTGCACTTAACTCGTGATTTATACTGTGTTAAATTATAGTTATTTCGTAATAACTTCAAATCTATCGTGATTTTACGCGTTTTTCTTTCGAAACACAATTTAGTATTAATTTTTCTATCGTACCAAGAAAGAATTTTTGAGATTGGATTGTTACTCAAAAAGTTATCCGCAACTAAAGTTAAACATTGTGAAAATTTACAAATTTGACATAAATTCGCTAGTACCTTATCATAAAAGCTTATAATATTAATTTTTATGAATAATTTGATGTAGAATTTTATTCTAAACAAATATTTAATTACAAAATTAAAATATCTTGATTGGTGTTTGAGATATGAATTAATAATTGAAATAATTCAATCACTTTTGTATAGAGAATTATTATAATAGTGAAAATAATTATATCATCCATCTACTTGCGTAGTTATGATCACTTTTTTAAACCAATCTTAAATATTAATAAATTATTAATTGGTTTTGCGTGCATCTGTCAAGAATTCATTGATAATCCAAACCGTCAATGGTTTTATAACAAACAACTTTGACAGCTCCCCAGATATGAATCTATTTTGCACTCTGCCCAAATAAAATACCATTGACGCAGTTGCTTCGTTAGTGGTGCTAATCTTTTTGCATTTAAATTTTGTGTTTATGATTATCGGAGTTTTTTGGTAAATTGGAGACAAGTTCCGCAAAGTTTGCACGCGTCCAACGCGTGTTTCGCGAGTGACTGTAATCGTGCGCTATTTTAAACATTTGCGAACTAATAAACACAGCCTGAGTTATTTTTAAACACGTCTGGGACTGATCACGGAACAATTTGCTGTCTAAAGAGGACAGAAGACTTGTGTTTCAAATTATGTTTATTGTTTAATTGCGCATCTCAGGTGTTGCCTTTAAATTGGCAGCAATTATTGTTATTATTTATATATTTTAATACAGCGTAAATATAAACATAAATAATATAGTTATATTCTTAGCTTGAGAGAAAGTAAGGTTGGGTGTAAAATATATACCAAACCATTAACAATATTGTTTTTTTTTAACAAAACATGTTTTCATAATTCCTGAAACATATTTTTTGACATGTTGCACTAAAATTGCTAACAAACAAAATTCTTTGTCATGTCTCCTTCGTTAAAACATAATTTAAGATCGCGTACTTATTTAAAATGCATGTTTATGATTTTGGTATGAAAACACTTTTTTTCTTTCAGAGATAAGTAACTATTAAATCAATGTACTATAAATCTACATAGCAAAATTGTCACCGTTACTCAATATTTTTGAGGCCATAATGCAATTTGCTCCAAATCTAATTCACTTTACCATAACTTCTTCGTTTTAAACTGAAATGAAACCAGTTATTGTCGGTTTAATACTTGGACTATAACAGGAGCTAACAAATTGATTGCTTATTAACTGTATTGATTAACTGATAACATTCATAACCAGTTAATATGCGTTTCCGAACTAGTTAACACCAGAATTTGTTAGATTCCTGTGTCAAGAAGTCACTTAAAACCCAATATTAACTTTAAAAGTAGTAATCAGCAGCAAGTGTAATGAGAGCCAATGCAATGTCAGTTGTTTACAATGACTAATCAAACAAATATGAGCCAAGAAACTCATTTTTTCGATAATTTGGCAGCGATTTCAAGAGTACAAACAATGTTTCGGAGCCAACCTTCCTTCTTGGCACACGCCATCAAAAAACTACTACTTTAGAGTTTCTTTCAGATGCTTTAGGAAAATAAATATAAATTACAACCGTAGAATGTAATATTTAAAGAAAACTTGAAACGAAAATCGCAATTGAACTTGAACTTCAAAACGTGAAGTGCATCCAAAGTAACCACTCATTTATTTTGAGATAATGACATTATCCTACTGCAGTTCAAATTCTACTAAGATATATTACTCGAATTGCTATTTCCTAATGCATTTTTGGCTTTGCAATATTATGATTTCTTATAGTGGGCATTTATCCAAAAAAGATTACTTCATTCTTTTCATCTTTCTATGTATTTTTCTTGTATTAAAATAGATTTACTAACATCGTAGTTACACACGCCTCCGATCTTTTCCAATCGCGGGAAGTACATTATATAAATGAGCAATTATTTAAATAACTCGTGTTGGACTAAAAATAATAAAAATCATCTCGGCCAAAATATCATGCGCATGTCGCGTGCCGCATGCCGCATGCATTGAATTGCGACTTAGATTATTTCCACTCGTGCCTTATTGTAATTATAATTAGATTAGATAATAATTTCGGAGTTTATAAACCACTTCAACGTTATATCAAATCCGGTTTTACCAATTATCTTCACTGATTGATTGATTGATTGATATAACAAAAAAGAGTTTTTTGTCTGGAATATAATACAAACACATCATCATTGTATTTTGGTGAATCCATATACAAATCGGTAATTAAATATCAAATGGAGGTCACGAGAAGTTGTACTATATATTTTTTGTGATTCGTTATGTTAACCACGCAAGATTTTGGATTATTTTCGATGGATACGGGTTAAACGATTGAATAAGCACCAGCTGCGATATAAAACACGCTGATATGACCTCCAATGTTTTTATAAATAGAATTTATTTACATGATCGCTGCCATTATAGTTTTTCCGGCCACCTGTAACAAAAAATCATTTATTTTGTGGATTTGAATTAATCTTTTGTAATAGATGAGTTGGTAATTAATTGTTTTATTGTGTAAACATGCAAAAAATGTATTTTTGTTGAAAATGTCGTCAACATTGGTGTTTTGAGTCATTGAACGAGTTCATATTCAGGGTTACAACCTGAAATCACTGCTTTTTATGTCAATTACACACTTTTATATGAAATGCTTTCATTTATAACGTACAGTTATGAAAACAGTGCATAAAATACAAACACAATAAAGAATGGCACATTTACATGGTCAATAATGAGAAAAAATTATAGAATAATATAAGTATTTATATATTATGATGATAAAATATGAAGTTGCAATGGAAAGTTATAAAAATTAAATTAAACAATTTGCGGAACCTTCACTTTTATCAGAAAGTTGTTTGCATGTAAGTAATTGCAAAAATATAACAAACAACAAATATTTAAAACTATAGATAAAAACATAAATGATGAAATAGGCACTTATTTCTCAGTCAGTCAATCACTGAAAGAGATCGGGTAGCAACAATAGCCCACCAGCAGATTCTCCCATGAAATAGTTAATAACAGAATAAGTTTATCTTGTTTGCGTCAATTTCAATGCGAGATGAGCGATTTAATGACGTCAATGTTCTTGCTTTCAAAAAATATTCCTACAAACTTATCACTTATTTTTCAAATTGATTGATCTTAGGTTGTAGTAATGATTATCACTAAGGGAGATGAAAGTAATTAGCCAACTGTGTATTTTTAGAATGTTTAATTATTATAAAGAAATTAATCTAAGCCTTACAAGTTCTAATGAAATTAGCAACACTATTTGTGTTTGTTGAGTTGCCTAGCTTAGAGTTAAACACAACCTCTAAGTTCATCCATACAAAAAACTTATATTGATTGATTCGTTGAATAATATCACGTACATAATAAGAAAACTATCCAAAAACAAATGATTGCCACAGTAGCATTTAAACATTATATTTATACAAAAAAAGGTCAGTACATTGCATTACTCTTCGTTTTTCCCGTCTTTTGCGTTATTCTTCGGTGTTTTCGATTGAATTCGGACAAATCCTCTTCATGGAGTACGCATCTTCACCGTCAGCGTAATACTTCGGTTCGATCTCCACGGTTTCGAATTTGAGTGAATTCTTATAGAGATTCAGCGCGGCTCGATTGCTTTTACGCACGTGTAGCGATACATATTTAGCGTCAAAGCATTCTACCATTGCTTCTGAAGCTTGATCCATCAGTTTCTGCGCCAGGCCGAGACGACGATGTGAGCGTTTGACAGCGAGTGATGTGATATGCCCGTGTTTCATCTCTTCATTGTCCTCCTCCATTTTTGCAAGTACATAGCCCACAATATTGCCCTTATCATCTTCAGCTACATAGCTCAACTGTGGCCAGCTCAAGCCATGATAAAAGTAGTATTTCATCTGATAGTTTTCTGGTAAACATAGCAAGTTGCAATGTTGCATGTTCATGAGATCTTCGGGTTTTGCACAGCGAATATTCATCTTGATGTATTGGTCTAGTCTCTTCTGCTTCTTTTGGGTCTACTTCTTGTATCTTTCTCGCGCTCTTGCTGCTCCTCGGTTGAACCGCCCCCGAGCAACTCTCTAACAAACTTGAACCGCGACAGAAACAGCTTCCAGACGATGTACCAACCTGAAAAGAAAATACGCACATAAGTAAACACAATGCGGGTGCATAACCTAAGATATTTTTAATAAGAAAAAGGCTGCATACCGAGAAGTATAAGAAACAGAACAAACGCCAGAGAAGTGATTATGCTCGCTACGGCTAACAGGATTTCTATCATTATAGTCACATGAAATGAACGCAAACAAAACTACATTTAAAGGACGTATTCTACGAAAAGGCAGTGTGTTGTTGAGGTGAGTGCGCCATTTTGTAAGTGAGAAGGAAGGGTGGCGTAGCGATTGAATTATGCAATCTTTCTGGACTGCATTCGACATACAAAGGCCTAATTTAACAATTTTCAGTACGTACCAAATGCCAATTTTTAAGCTTCTCAAATCTAAGAAAAAAATCGGTAATTAGAGTGATCCCAGTGACGTTCATTCACATGTGATTGCCGGTTATGAATAATATTCATTCTACAGATGGCGTTAGAGGTTGTATTGTAGTTGTAAGAGACTGCTGTAGGTAGCACTCTGATTAAACACTCAACTAGTGTAATGCGCGTTGCATATTCAAAGGGGTATATTCAAGCATAACTTTGCTGATTTTACGTTAAAGTTCGTTACGGCTTATCGTTTTATAATGGAAACTGAGCAGATTGCTGATGAATTGCAAAAGAAGGGTCGTGTGCGCCGCAAACAAACACTTAACACAATCCTGAAACAAATGCACTTTTACTTCAGCGACTCTAACCTATCAAAAGACCGCTTTTTGGCCAACAGACTACAAGAATCTGAATGTAAGTTACTTACTACAATTTATGATAAACCAATATAACTAATAACAAACTTTTCAGATGTTGATCTAGATGTATTTTTAACATTTAACAAAATCTCTAAGCTGACATCATCAGTGGAAGAGATTGCTAAAGCATTAAAAAAGTCTGATTTACTTGAACTAAATGAAGATTGCACCAAAGTCAAAAGAACCACACCACACAAGATAAAAACCAATGAAGATGAATGCATTATTTATGTGCAAACCATACAACCTGATACAACACATGAATGGCTAACAAATGTGTTTTCTGAATTTGGCAAAGTTGAATATGTATCCATTCCAAAGTATTCACATAATAAATTTGCCAAAGGTTTTGCTTTCATTGAGTATGAAAATGTAGAGCAAGTAAAGACTGCATTAGAATATTTTGAGAGCATTGGGGCAGGATATCATCACAAATTAATTCAGAAGAATTGTGCAGTAATAAAACTTATGAAGAAGGTGGTGATGTTAAGTTGGAGGAAGAAAATGAGAGTGAACCAAATGAAAAGAAGAGAAAACATGTGGATGATGAAGAAGGGGATGTGGAGGGTGACAAGAATAAAAAAATAAAAGCAGAAACACAGGAGGAAGAGGATAGTAAACAGAAGAAGAGGAGCACCAAGAGGAAAGCATTAATCAAAGAACATGGGCTTCAAGTATTAACTAAGTAAGAAAATAAGTTTATAGTTATACTGAGATTCATTAAAACATTAATTTAATTATGTTTAGATTAGAATGGAAGAAACTCCGCAATCGTTATTGGGAAATGCAACGAAAAAAGATGAAACAACTCAAACAGCATCTGTACAAACATCGTTTGCATCAAAATAATTATTTAGATATTCAAAATCAGCATGTGAAGACACACAGTGAAGTAAAAGTAGGAAAAGTAAAAACAGAAAATGATGGAATGCACGATTATACACCTGGGATTATTGTCAAGCTAAAATTAACTGAACCGTGGGCTGAAGCAAAGATAATTAAGGTAAACACTATCAATTTCAATGCTCTCATAAATTTTATAAATTAATTTATTGTTTTATTAGAATGAACTGAAGAGTTTAAACAATACCATTCAGTATGTAGAAGTGCCAGTAACACTCGCTTCTGATGAAGTTTATCTGCGTTTTGTTGCGCCGGAAAACGCGAATGAGTTTTGTGCGTCAAACCCTAAAGGCCAAGGGATTGTACTCACAGGTGAGGAAGAAAAGCAGTACTGGGAGAAAATTAAAACTAGTCGTGACGCGCGCCTAAATAAAGACGTAAAGAAACAACGTGGCAGAGACAAACTGCTGAAACGAGCTGAGCGTGAACTTGGGAAACACATTCGGTTTGATGACACTGACTAGCGATATTATACAGGTAATATTATATTTTTGTAAGTAAAGAATACAATCAATTATTGTTTCCATAAAAAAATAATGGAATATTGTAATTTAAAAAACTAATCCTAGATGTGCATTACCATCTATTGCCGCCACCACCACCTCCACTGCTGTTTCGTCCGAATCCTCCACCGCCGCCTCGTCCACCTCCACCTCCTCGGCCGAATCCACCGCCGCCACCTCCACGACCACCGAATCCTCCTCCACCGCCTCGGCCACCACCACCGCGTCCAAAACCACCTCCTCCTCCTCCACGGCCTCCAAATCCACCTCCGCCGCCACGACCACCGAATCCTCCTCGGCCGCGACCACCGCCGCCTCCTCTACCACCTGCACCTCGTCCTCCACGTTTTTGTACACTGCCTGGCGGTTTCGGTAAGAATCGTTGCAAAGGTAAAAGTTTTGCAGGGTCAATATACAACTAAAGAAGAGAAAAATAAATAAACATTACATATATAAATATAATAAGCAAAATATTACCTTTTGATTCTTTTAAAACTAGCAGCTTTCATGTCATCACCCAATCTAATTGATACTGAATAATCTCTGAGATTGCCAAAGATTTCGTCAATTTTGCCAACTTGTTCTTTATTTTCTAGATAAATCGGCGCATTGAAGAAGGGTACATCTTCAAGCTCCACTTTGCAGATCAATTCATCCTGACAAGGATAGTCAAAGAAACCTAATTCAACGACGCGTTCTGGCGGTCCCTGGTCAAAATTTCTGCCGCCGCCGCCGCGTCCTCCACCAAAACCGCGTCCGCCACCGCCTCGACCACCTCCGCGTCCTCCGCCAAAACCACGACCTCCGCCGCCGCCTCTACCACGAAACGACATTCTGAAAATACAAATACAGTGAGTAAAAATTAAATTATCATTAAAAACGCACGTGCGAACTTAAGGTTATGAATTGTTTTGGAAATAACACTGGTTAATACCAGAACGTACCTTTTATTTTATTATTTAAAGAGGATGGAGTCAAAACACTAAAGTTGGGACAAAATGCAATGTACACGACATAAATTACAGGTTACAACTAAACACCACGTGCGTTACTTTCAGCGTCGAGATACGCTTATTTTGTAAGGTTAGCCGCAAACAAAATACAACGACAGATGTCGCGCGCAGTCAGAATTAAATTTCAAAATATTTATTAATCAAATGTTTTACATAGAATTGGTTTTACACATTTATATCATTCTAATAGTCTAAACAAGAATTGGGGTATTTTCTGAAGTTTTGGCTGCAGTAGGTTTTTGCTTTTTGTTGGGCGCTTTTTTTGCATTTTTAACTGCTGCTACTTTTTGCGTTGGCGAAGCCTTTTTCGGTGGCACTGCATCACCGGTTTCACCTGCGTTATTTTTACGCTTCTTCGGTACTTTCGGCTTATTTTCCGTGACAATCGCAGGTTTTTCCTCAGAGGAACCTGCCTCTTGTGAATTGACTTTTTAATGTTTTTTCGAAGCGGGTTTTGAATTTGGTTCTTTTTCACTGTTACCGCATTATTAGGCTTCTTTCCTTGCTTTGGCTTGCCAGCCTTTGTGACATCCTCCTGCGGTTCGGCTTTTACTGCCTTCTTTTTACCTTTTTTATTCTCAAGGGCCTCCTTTAACGGCGCCTCAGCTTTCTTCTTTTTCGAAGCGCCATTTTTTTTCTTATCATCATCGCCGATATTCTCTTTGTCGGTGGATTTCTTCAAATATTTACGTTTGGGTGTGCGATCAAACTGCAGGCGTTCGGGTTCCTTCCGGGCGCGAGTCGGTTTATTATCCCAAGCTGCCGCGGCTAATTCCTCATCGACGTTCTCCCTTTTGTGCACTACGACTTCTCCGCTTGCCTTCACAGTTACCTTGGCGTCCATTTCAGTAGACAACTCGTCCTTAACTGAAACCTTGGGGGTTTCTGTTTTGACTACAGGAGTTTTCATAGAACTGATATTTGCTGAAAAATAATAATAAAAAAATGTCATGGTGACAAATACAAAATAATAACAAAAATCTTACCACTAGAAAGATAGAACTGCACTGATTTTCCTTTAGCTGTTTTCAAGAAAAGACCTTTTATGTAAGCAAAGCCACCAGGAAACTTCTGCTTGAGTCCCTCAGCAACAGCCATAATATTATCCACCAACTGCTCTTCCTCCATGCCAGTGTGCCCAATCTTCATTGAAAAGTTATCACCTGCACTTTGTATTTTCAAGAAGCTTTGGGTGAGAACTTCATCAAACAATTTGGGAAGATTGCTTGCATTCAATTTGATGGTACTGTAGGGTTTGTTCTTCTTTCCCATTGTGCTTCCAAGCAGTTTCCTCACATAGCCATCCACTGATCCATCTGCTATAATAAGATCATACAATCCCATCAACCTATTCTGCATTTCATACTCAGTGTATTCCTGCCTCAACTGATGCAATGGAATGATATCTTTGACATCAGTGATGTCATGCTTATCCAGAATTTCTCTGTAATGCTCAATAGTCTTTTCATGATCAGTTTTTGGATCCAGATCTGGTGATATAAGCAAAATATCATGTTGTTTGGGCAGGATACTGTGCTGCAGTTTGATGTTCAAAGTTTTGGTCGGACATTTTGGAATTTTACCAGCTTGGATTTGCAAGAAAATGACTTTATCATCATCAAAAAGTTCCTTACTATCAGTTTGGGTTTCAGATTCTGTCAAGCAACGTGCAACCGCTTTTTCAACAAAGTTTCTTTGAAGCTCAGCATTCTCGCCGTTATCTTCGACCGTTTGTGGTATCATATCTTGTGACACGTTGGGACTTTGCAAATTTGAATTCGCGCCCTTACTTTTCTTCGGCTTTTTAACGAGTGACATTGATTTGCGCGCAACAACAAGACCCAGTTTGGTTTTTTTATCTTTCGCCATGATTACCGAATCGAAAATATTTTGTGTACACCTTAAAAACAATGACGGACTAGTCAGTAATCTTAATGGTAACAAACCACTCTAAGGCCAACGGAGAAAAGAACGATGCGGGAAACACGTGCTGTATGATTACCGTTTATTTGTTGGTTAATGCCGCCAAGAAAAGGGACCAGTAGATGGCATGAGTGACGCTTGAAACTGCAGATCTTCAAGTTTTGCGCAGTTTTGTTATGATCTCTATGCAGTGTTATCAACATTCTCTTTACTAATAAAAGATGCGAACAACAATAACAACACAAAAAACAATTCAGAGATAAATAAACGCAAGTGAACTAACTCATTGTTCACTTTGACAGAAAATGACATCAAAGTCAAATATCGGGCGCCCGCTGCAAACACAACCACAAACAACTGATATCAACAATGTTCAAAATCAAAATCAAATCGCGCAAACAAATCCAACGCGGATTCCTAAAATGACGCAATTACCTCTTGTAAACGCAAAGCAATCGCAGAAGACTAAATTCGTGTCGTGTATTAAAATCAACGGAGTGCCCATTTTACCGCCATTGGTAAGTAGATGCATGCGTTTTACCAAAGCACGCAAAAATCGATGTTTCATTAAACAGATTACACCGGAAAAGCGCAAGGAACTGCGGCGTTTGAAGCGCGAGGCGATAAAGGTCGAGAAACGCCTTCAACGCGAACGTGAACTTAAGCAATACGTTTCAGAGTTGTACAACACATGCACAACTGAAATCAATGATGAACTACTAGTCAATCAAGAAATACAGACATGTATCTCAGACACATTTGAAATCACAGATGATGTTAATATAATTAATGTAACCAACACCAACGAAGTATCAACAAAAGAAGCATCGCCGATTCATGCAAAACGGAAACTTAGTTTCAACGTGCAATGCACACAATATGTTAATGATGCATTTAAAGTTGTTGTGTCTGATGAATGCAAGTCACCAGTATTTTTATTCGAAGGTAATTTAACACCACCGCCAGCTGTACCTAAATTAATTCGCAGTAATTCGTATACACTGGACGCGCCAAGTCCTGCTCTGGTGGAATTTTTCAAACGAAGAAATAATGCAGAAGATGTAAGTGAAGCAACTTTAATCAAAAATGATTTAGAAATTACTTCCCTTGATGCAACACCAAGATCAGATTATTTAAAGAAGCCTGATTGCACATTGCAATCTGAACTAAATACTTCCATAGATTGTTTTGATACGTCTAGAACTGAAACAGAGTTAAAGAATTTATCGGATTGTGAAAGTCATCTTCCGATATCCGAAGGTTTACAAGAGTTTATCGCCAATAATGTGCCGGCGAATAATGCGCGCTGTGATTATGATCAAATGTCGCAAAGGTCTGAGAATGTATCGAGTGAGGCGCACTCGGATTGGAATTCGATTTTAAAAAAGATTCCATCTGCTTACTCGCGTCAGATTCTTGAGATTTTGGAGCGACAACAAATGAATCACGATAATTACGACTCGTGTGATACTTTTGATGATATACATTTGAATCCGGAACAGTATTCCACACCCCAGAACACAACACAAGTTGGAGATACTGTTTATTATAGTGCTGATGAACAATCGACGATTTCAAAAGGGAAGCAGAAACTAACACGTGAACAAGCTGCGAATATAATAACGGCGGCTGCGAAGGGATTTCTTGTTAGACGTTTGATGAAGACCGAAAAGGTTGAGTATTTGATTCAAACTATCAATGAAGCTGTCTTATGCGCCATGCAATTGCATCATGACACGTTAGATCACATTGAAGAAGCTGATGTTGAATTGCACCGCAGATTAATACAACAGGTTTGAAGATTCTGTAACTATTCAAACTGATTTTTTATTTATTGATGTTTTCTAGGTTTCTGCAGCTTGTTATTCGTTTCATAATGTATTTTTTGCCACGTCAATACAAGATCAAATGTCGTTTATCGCGGTCGATCGACAAAAGAAAGCAGAAAAGATGCGTCGCCTTTCTGCCACCAATAGTAACGCTTCCATTAAGTCGCAGCAGTCACAAAAGTCAAGCAGAAGTCAAAAATCACCCGCAAGCTCGAGACAACGACAATTTTCGCTGCGTTCTTAAACTAATTCGTTTCTATAGACTGAATTTTAGTGCCTTAACAAAGAATTGATTCATTCAAGTGCTTGTGGAAACAAACTAATTTTTTACTGGATTGTGTTCAATTAATTTTTAATATTTTATATAATTGCACATTTGTAGGCAACCCAATTTACAAGATTCAAATAACACATGCAATAAAATTGTTTTAAACAATCTTTACAATACGAATATAAGGAATGTAAGTGCACGTAATTGAAATGTGCTTTTAAATGAATTCGGGTTTGTATTTTAAAAAGTTATAGCAAGCTTGAAGGTCAAATTATCACATAACCTTAAAAATTTCGTAACATTGAGTTCTTTAATGTGCGCTTTTGCACGCTTGAAAATAGTGATAGTGATTGTGCATAATTATAATAATTAATGTGTTGTGCCGGGCATAATGTACGAACAACTGAAGGGTACCAAACTGCGGCAGTTTCTAATTCTGCACTGCAGAATAATCTTGTACATATCTGGCATTCACTATCCAAAGTGGCCAAAGTACATTTACCCAATTTTCATGCTACTAAAGTACATAAAACTTAGAAAAGCAAAGACACACTTCAAGTTACATGCCGTGCCGACAAATTTTATTGTCCACACAACATCTAATAATCATTTAGTGGATGCTAACAACTGTATTCTAATTAATTTAATGTATCACAGTGCCATTTTAAATTCAGCTGAGTTTGCTCAATTAAAATTTGGTAATCTAACTAGACTGGTGCAGGTTGTACCCACAGAGGCATTAGAATTAAATTCTAATGAAATCCTGGTGAGTTACACATTGAAACACAATTTGAAGAATATTGGCTGTGATGATACCATGAAAACATGCCAGGTGTTGCCAGTAAATATAAATATCATTAAAACTGCTGCAGAAGTGCATTTGGCTGGTGTAACCTGCCAACAAGTACTAGCAAATTCGGTCACTGACATTATATTGAAGAGTTACTTTAGAAATCCGAAACTTGTCTACAAAAACGATTTGATTCCTATAAGTTTAAAGCAGCATGCTGCTGAATTCCACTATACAAATTTAACTTGCAATGAAGTAGATGAAATGTACTTCAAGTGTCAGCAGATTAGTATTGAAGGTGTTAGTGATTGCATTGATGGATATTTTTGTGTAGTTGGAGGAACTACTTTAACATTGGCAGCTGAAATTCAATCAAGTTTGCCTCAAACAGTCAATATTATGAGACAGAACTTGTGTGATAGTAAACATGACCAACTTGTGATTAATTCATGCCCGTATGGGCTTGAAACGTACTTAAACAAGCTTGAAATTGCTTCAAAACCTTTTTTAAACAATGGTAAGAAACATAAAAGCGATTTTTTGCCGTACAATTCAATGTATTAACTACTTCTAGTGAAATTAAAGTTAAATCCAATGTTTTTAATAACGGGCCCAAAAGGCAGCGGCAAAGCCCAGATTTTATCCAGTTTGAGTCAAAAGTTGGGGATGAAGATGTGCCGTGTTAGCAATGTCGACCTCAGTGCGCAGGCGTACGCACAGACTGAAATTAAAATTAAGAACGCCATGTTTCGCGCAAAAGTTTGCGCGCCTTGCATGCTGGTTATAAATAATTTTGAGGTAAGATATTTTTATTTAAACTTTCTTATCAAACACACTTCATGTGTCATCGGTTAATATCGGCCGAAATAGCTCAGTTGGGAGAGCGTTAGACTGAAGATCTAAAGGTCCCTGGTTCGATCCCTGGTTTCGGCAGCTCTATTTTTATTCTCATTTCTTTTAATTCAAACTTGTTTATAGGAGTTTTGTAAAAACAACGAAGGACAACACGATCCACGCATCATAAATCATTTCAAAACCGAACTTGATCTTCTATTTTCGTCAACTGAACAACCAATTGTTTTAATTTGTGTGAGTAATTCAAAAGAATTACCATCTGACTTGGGGCGCATGTTTTTGGAAACTATCAAAATAAACGCTCCTAGTCAAGAAGAACGCGAATTACTTCTTAGCTGGATTCTTGCCAATGAAAGTTTAACCTCTGATTATGTCAAAGACATTGCTGCAAAAACTCACGGTTTTTTGTTTGAAGATTTGAAGGCGTTAGTTCATTTTGCAAATGGCCGCCAAGTTGTTACTGCAAACGATTTTGAATCCGCGTTAGGTGCGTCATTTCAAACTAATTCGCAAAATATAGTAATAAAAATTGATTTGTAGACATAATGCAAAATAGTTATACTGAAAGTTTGGGAGCGCCTAAAGTTCCGAAAGTGCAATGGTCCGATGTGGGTGGCTTGGAGGACGTTAAACAGGAAATTATCAAAACGATAAATTTACCGCTTAAACATCCAGAACTGCTGAAAACTGGTTTAAAACGTTCGGGTATTTTATTATATGGTCCGCCGGGCACTGGAAAAACTCTCATGGCCAAGGCAGTTGCCACCGAATGCGGTTTATGTTTTCTTTCTGTCAAAGGACCTGAGTTATTGAACATGTACGTAGGACAATCAGAACAAAACGTCCGGGAAGGTGAGTTATCTACGTCTGTTACTTCAGTTTCTTTCAATAAACTTTTCCAGTTTTTGAAAAGGCGCGTTCCGCCGCACCATGCATCATATTTTTTGATGAACTGGATTCCCTAGCTCCGAATCGTGGTATTTCCGGTGATTCCGGCGGTGTAATGGACCGCGTCGTTTCACAACTTTTATCAGAGATGGATGGACTTAATCAAAACGCAACTATATTTGTTATTGGGGCTACAAATCGCCCGGATTTAATTGATCCGGCTTTATTACGTCCCGGCAGGTTTGATAAACTGTTATACGTTGGGCCCTGCACTGATGCATCTGCAAAACTCGGCGTTCTTCGTGCCTTGACTCGCAAATTTAAGTTTTCTGACAAATTGAGTTTGGAAAAAGTCGTCAAGACGTGCCCTGCAAATATTACAGGCGCAGATTTCTACGGGATTTGTTCCAGTGCTTGGATGTCAGCCGCCAGTCGATTAATACGAAAAATCGAAAAAGGAAAACTTGCAGGCAGTGAAAATCTAACGCAGAATGATGTTATCGTCACTTTTAAAGATTTTGACGATGCTATTAAGAGTACGAAACCTTCGGTAAATGCTTCCGACATGGCGTACTTCGAGAAACTTCGGCATGAACTGAGCACGAAATAAAACGGTATGATAATTTTCTCTTTATATATATTAAATTTGCAAATTTCATACGAATTTATCATATTTGCTACGTATACACTATTCTAAATACGTCTGGGTCAAATATCACAAAAGTATCCACATGGCTTTTTTTGGTGTGTGGATTATGTTTTACAGTTAAGTAGAGTCGGACATATTATATCACATATCACAATTTTGCGCGTCGACAGTCATGTTAGTCAGTCCAGTATAAATAAATAAATACGTTTTTAACATTAATTCACAAGTACAAAAAATGAAAGAGAGTAAAAGTCTAAGAACCTTCTGCGCGAGAGGGTTGCGAGTGCGTTACGTCTCTTGGCCGTAGTTCACGTATTCCGTGCACCATTTGTAGACGCCATCTTCTTCGTTGCAGCACATCGGGTAGACGTATTTTGATTTGGTAAATTTTGCGCATTTTTGGCAAGTTTCCTGCTGTTCTTCCTAGAATCACAATCACCAAAATTTACCAAACTGTATCACATGGAAGTTTGAATGACTCACGTTCAATGCGCAGTACTTCTCCTTGAGGGAATTCTGTGGTGATCCTTCGCGAGGGCGAGCGTTGACGTTCGCCAACAGCGAAGCAAGCACAAGAGCTATCAGACAGTAGCGGCAGCAGTAGACAGCCGCTGAGGACTTTGACGCTGCCATCGCCTGGAATTTTGTTTACCACAGTTATTCAGTGCAAATAAACGAATGTAATCGGTTTATAAATAATATTGTTATTGATCGCTGCAGCGCGCGCTCGTTTCGCGCTTCGGGAGATGTGGTTAATTAGCGTGCTAATTAAGGCGAATCGAATAAATTCGCTATCGATTCATCATCAGCACAAATAGCGCGCGCGCCTGCATTTTGAAAATGGGTCAGAAATGTTAATGCACTCGGCGAAAAAAGCGCCCGCGCCGCGCGAGCGCGATTTTAATTAATTGGGCGCGATTGATTTGAACTATTTGATGCTCACTGGGAGATGATTACGAAATATCAGCGTTTACTCCATGCGGGCTTATACTGTTTTTAACTAGTTTGAAATTATGAGAAAGTGAACGAGATGTTTGAAATCCGCATGGCAACATGGTGGCGACATTTTGCATACCTGATTAGTCTATTGCTGAATTCGAAATAATTGGTTAAACTCCAAACTTGATCGGCAACTGGCACACACAACACGAGCAAAATCGATGGTGTGCTCATTGGGCGAGGGTTGATCCAATATGGCGACGATATAGTATTATTATTATTGTACACGCTTTTTTTGAATGTTGACGGTTGGTTGGTTTGCGAGCGCACGAGAGCAAACGTTGATCGATCGAGCCGAGCGCGAAACTGTGCCGATACTAAAGATAGAGACGGAAGCCATTCCGAATTTATATTTATATGCGGCGGCCCGTGGCGCCGCGGCATAAAGTCCACGAGCGCGCCCCCACATTTGCTTAGCGACATATTTTCTCTCTTTCATCGGTCCAAGGAAGTACACATTGCGACAGTTTTGATTGAACGATGTAATAACTGATCGATTACGTATCGACGAAATTCTAAACCTTGACTTTTGTTGCAATAATCCGGAAGTTTCAAGCACATTCGAAATACGTTGTGTGTTTGGTTGCATAACTTAACGGATGTCGCCATTTTGTTTTCGGTGTGACTCACGGCTTATTAAGCGCTATCAAAGTGTAAATAATTGATTACTAATTAAGAAGGGGTTCGAATAAGTGTTGTTTCCATTTGGTTAGTCACTGTGTGGCATTTTTGCCGACGCTAGCCGTAAGTCTTACTGGTCGTTTTGGAATACCTCAAATTCTTGCATCATTCCGTCGCGTGCGCATAAACAAATCGCGAATAACATTGGGGGCACAAAGCTCGGCGCCGTAATTAGCGCGCTTAATCTTTTAAATACCACACAATTAAAACCGAGATTTAGCCGCTTACATAACCCACTGGGGGCAACTAGCAACGCTCGTTAACAAATGACCAGTCACACGCGAAAAGCAATGATTCTAATTAATTAAAACTGGTATGTCTCTTTCGGTTCCGTCAGCACGTGCTACAAAAAATGTACTTTGCTTATTGCGAATGCTATATGCGGACATGGCGAGCAGACAGGATTTTTCCGTAAAAAATATCGTCTACGCTGTTATCAAAATTGCACACACTTCGTGATGAATCCGATCAAAGGTCGCAAGTGACCAGCAAATAAAACCGTTTTTGCGCTAAAAACTCGCATGCGCGGAAGGAAATTGTGCGTGATGCGTGCGCTTCGCGTGTATCTTTGAAGCGCTTTATCAAATGAAAAAAGGACAAAAACATTATCAAGGCTGTTAGACCGAAGCAAACAAAAATGTGTGCTCATTTCCAATGTGTGCTTATTTACAGAAAACAATCGAAGTCGTCCTTCCGAAAGTTCGGGACTTGTCTCGGCTGATAACATCGTATTGCCATGACACAGACGATGAACTCTAGGATTATTCGCTTCGATTGCCATCGCGCTGTTATGTGGCGCTGCCGGAAAGTCCGTTGTGCGCTGTTTACGTCCAGCCCGTCTAGGAAATGCGCTGCAATCGTTGTTGAGTGTTATTATTGTTTTGGATTACATGCATCGGATTGAAAAGCAGTACATTGTTTTGCATTGTTGTTGTTGATCACTTCGCCGATTGAGTGTTTGTTTGATCCTTTCGCGCGACGCGCGACCTCATCGTCGATAAGCGAGGTAATGTATTCGTAATTTCGATGCTAATAATTATTGAGGACGAGAGTCATAAATATTTTGCTAATGAGCTGGTTTAACAGCAGAAGAACATCTTAAAATCAAGTATTTTTAGCGTGTAATACAATTTCAGCACTAGAAATTGAGTATTACTTATGAAAGTTGTTTGGATTTAGTTTTTAGTCGAAGCAGTCGAGTATACCGTGAAAAGATAAGCGACAGAATGAGTAATGGCCGAAATATTTGTGTGAACACACAATATTTGCGATTGCGAAAGTGGCCAACGCCACGCCGCGCCAATTTGCAAGCACGTTTTTATCACGTGTGGCTGTGCTTTTTAATTGTCAGTCAAAATTCTCTGCTGGTCAAAAATAAAATAAAAATAACAGATAAAACGCGCAGAATGAACGTTGGGTTGCATAACCTCGTAGGTACGAAATATTTTTCGAATGTGTGTCACACAAATAAGCGCCCACTGCACCCGAAAATATTAAAACTATGTCGCAGACTTCATAAATATTTTGCGCTTTAAACTCTTGTCAACAGCAGCATCGCGGATGTGTGTTCAATGGTCAATCTAATACAATATTATGTCTATGGTTGCAACGTTCTGGGAAGGGGGAATGAGACGCAAAACGAAGTGTTTTAAAAATGTTTACATTCGTAGAATTAAGAGCCTTAAAATCAACGACGCCGACGTCTGAAAGAACGCCAACACTTTCTTACAAATTAATCACAATATGTCGCCGCCTTTCGTCGCGTTATTAGTATTTTTAGAAAATTTCTACAATAAGGTTTTAGTAAAAAATGTGACGAGGCACCCAAAAATAGATCGTAGCCGGTTGCGAAATTGTGATAATACAATATAAACAATAAATAATTACACTATGCGCATGGTCATTGTGCGTGTTTCAACAAGAATTGCAAATGTGTTTGCAAAGTCTACATTTGTAAAAATAAGTCTGCGCTTCGGTTTTGAATTTTCTTGTGTTAGGTAGTATTCGTGAAACGGTTGAGCTTCGGTAAACAGTGGAATGTCCAAGTCGCTCGCAAAACGCGTCGAGTGAGTGTTATTCCTTCCTGGACTTGCGCTTCTTCACACCGGGACTGCTCTTCTCTGCGGCGGCGTTGTCATCTGAACTTGATTTAACTTCGCCGTCGCCTTCGGATTGACTAGCATCGTCTACCAAATCGTCCTTGATATCCTCATCGGACTAAAACACAAGAAAAATCATTTTACTATGATGTTTAATTAAACACAGAGAAATTTAAAACTTACCAGTTCAACATCACTGTCTTTATCTTTATGTGCCTCACCACCTGCTGATTTTTTAAGATCAACTTTGGCTGGGTACTTTTGCGGGTAGATCAAGTCAATCACACATACTAGAATCTGTAAAACATAATATTTTTACAACTTGAAATCATTTAGTGCAAGACTAACTTACCAGGCCAAGTATTGCACCAATGAAAATTGTCGCGATTGAGAAAATAAGATAGGATCCCCAAGATGGCAGACCATACTCTTCCATGAGCATGTTGTGCACTTGCCTCAACACCTGTGAAAGCTTAAAGAATGTTGAGACAATACCCATCTGGACTGAGTTTGGTGATTGCCAGCTTGGAACAGGCTCCACACTCTTCCATTTCTTCTCTTCCACAAAGGAAATAAAAGCGTCCTTGTCGCGAGAGCCTTTGTACTGACGGAATTCGCCATTAAGTACACTATAAACAACAAAGAAACATTTAGTTATTTTAATATTTGATAAATATACTTAAAAACCATACTGGAAGATTGTTGGCAGTGCAGTAACCATAAATCTGCCGCTAAGACCCGGTGATGTGGTGACGTCTACCTTGGCTACGGAGATGCCAATATCATCGGACCAGGTGGCAAAGTCACGCCAGATACTTTCGAGGCCCTTACATGCGGGACACCATGGGGCGTAACTGGAAAAAGGGCCGAAAAGTCACGCTTGCATGATTGACACGCAGGCGAGTGTACTTACAATTCGACCATCCACTCATTCTGTAGCATTAGTCGCCAGTTATCCTCGTTCAAATCGACGACTTGTTTGCCGGCACGCACGCAGACGAAGGCACAGGTGATGAGCAGCAGGGCGCTAAGGGTCGCACGCCCGCACGCCATGTTTCAGGAGAGTCGTGTGTTGTTTGGGTGCGTGTCGCGTGTGCGATGTGAACGGACGGATCGGACGGATGGACGCCGTACTTGCCGTGCTTATCCGTCGAATGCCGGATGATGTGTGCGTGTTGCGCGTTGCCGAGGTTACCGACACTTTTGTTGCCGCCTCGACCTTGGCGTCCGGCATTCCAGAAAGTGTAATTTTACGCAGATCAAATATATAGAAATTAGTAAATTGCATTGCATAGAAAACCATAGTTTACCAAATTTTTTAATAGTTTTTTGCATATGAAGCAAGGAGTCATAGAAGAAAAATATAAAATTAAATATAAAACATTTCCATTTTAAATATGCGCTATGAAAAGCACGCGTCAACCGCGCTGTCGTGGTGAATCATGAAACTATAAAAAATATGATACCAGTCCTAACCTTAGTTTATCCTCGTGCGTCGTGTTTTGTTTAGCAAATGTTCAAAAATGAAAAGCAATCAACGTGAGTTTGCCAACGATGGCGATTACAACGAATTCTATGAAAAACCGAAATGGTTTGAACAGGTATAAGTTATTTCATAATATTTAAAACTTCACTCAATTATTCTGTCATATTCAGATCTCTGAAGATCCCAAAAAGTTTGAAAAGGTATCTGACCAAGTGCTTATTGAACTCAAGGAGGAAGCCAAGAAGATCTTGGATTCAGAAATTGCCAATTATAATATAAGTAAGTTTGGAAATTCCTTGGTATTGTTTTAATTTTTTTAAATCTATTGTGCTACATTTCAGAAAATTCCAAGATTAACACTGACTACAGATGGATGAAAACTGTGATGTCAAAAGGCACAGTCTCAGACAAAATTGCTGCCTACACAATCCTCATACAGGATAGTCCTGTGTTCAATTTAGAAACAATCAGGAATGCAATAGGCATGGTAAAAGTAGGCAAAAAGAAAGAATGTGTTGCTGTTATTGGTAAGAAAATTTATTAATTCAATTAATAATCAATATTACTAAGGGTGTGTTTTTAAATTTAAATCTGTAGAAACATTGTCTGAATTGTTCCTGTCTGATTTACTACGACCAAATGAAAAACTGCGCTCGTTTTACGATCGTCCATTATCCCAGCTAAGCGAACTTTCATCCGGAAACGCCATCACACGTCGCAAATACCTCTATCATTGGTACTTTGAGGATCAACTTAAAGAAGCCTACAATACCTTTGTACAAGCCCTAAATGCCGCAAGTCACGACACCGTCGACAGCAACAAGGAGAAAGCCGTTGCGGCAATGAGTAATTTACTCTCGGGAAATCCAGAACAGGAAAAGAATTTATTATCACATGTGGTGAATAAGCTCGGTGATCCCTCACAGAAAGTAGCGTCCAAAGCAATGTATTGCTTGACACAAGTTCTCAAGAAACATGCAAACATGCAGGGAGTGGTTCTGAGAGAAATCGAAAAGTTGTTATTCCGCGCAAATATCGGTCACAAAGCACAATACTATAGCTTGTGTTTTATATCACAGTTTTATTTATGCGCCGAGAATCCCGAGGTTGCGCGTAAACTGATAGAAGTATATTTTTCTTTCTTTAAGAAGTGCATCAAAGAAGGTGATGTTGATAGTAGAATGATGTCTGTGTTACTTATTGGCGTAAATCGTGCATATCCTTACGCTAAATTAGAGTTAGGGACGATTTCTGAGCATATTGACACAATGTATCGGGTTGTGCACGTAGCTAACTTCAATGTTGCGCTAAATGCGCTTAGTCTACTCTTCCAAGTATCACAATGTGCGGATAGTGTGAATGATCGCTTCTATTCCGCGTTGTATCGCAAATTATTAGATTCCAAGTTACCGTCGTGCACTAACCAAGCGGTTTTGTTAAATTTGGTGTATAAAGCAATGACGCGAGATGAGAAAACAGAAAGAATTCTTGCTTTCATCAAGCGATTATTGCAAATCGCTATGAATGTTCAACCTAATTTTGCGTGCGGTATTATATTTTTAATATCGCAAATGTTATCGAAAAAAACCGGCTTGAATTTGTTACAAATCAAGTCGGTAGAAGGTAACGTTAAAGTTAAAGAGGAGAATGAGGATGACGATGACGAAGAAGAGAGGTATACTGATGTTAAAGATAACGACGATGAAGGAAACAAAGAGGGTGGTAACAAAGTTGAAGAGGCAACTGTTGGTTGGATGCATCGTGTTCAAAACCCTATAACTAATGTAGAAGTTAAAGTCGAGCGCAAACCTAAAGACTTTTATGATCCGTTGGCACGCAACCCGTTATACGCTAATACGAATTTCTCTGCATATTTTGAACTGTTGGAATTGAAAAATCACTATCATCCATCGGTGCGTCTCTTTGCTGAAAACATTCTTGATGGAAAGAAAATTATTTACACTGGCGATCCATTGAAAGATTTTACACTCATCCGTTTCCTTGAGCGATTTGTATTCAAAAACCCAAAGAAAATCGATGAAGACACTTCAACAACTTCTACATTCTCGAAGAGAAAACATTATCAACCACAAGGAATTCGCTCAATGGCTGTGTTCTCTAATGATTATATTACACAAAATGAAAAGAATATCCCTGTTGATGAACTGTTTCTGTACACTTATATGCAAGAGAGGTACAAGGAAACAAAAATCAAGGAAAACGGCGATGATGATAGCGATCTGGAATCGGTGGCTAGTGAAGAGTTTGAAGATATGTTGAGTAAAATGTCCGGATTCAAGGATGATGATGAGGATGATATTGATTACATGAATGAAGTGGGTGAGAATATGAAAAATAAAAAAGAGAAGACAACTAAAAAGAAATCAGACGGAGATGATGACGATGAAGAGGGGAGTGATGATGATGATGATGACGACGATGATAATGATCTAAGTGATGAAGGAAGTCATATTAGCGATGACGACGAAGATGATTTAGATATGAATGATGAGGATCGTGAACTACTGGGCGATTTGAGTGACGGTGACGATGATGAAGAGTTATTCCTCGATGAGGACGACGAAGATGATATTATGCTTGATACAAAATCATCCAAGAGTAAAAAATCAGCCAAAGCGAAGAAAAAGACAAATACTGGTTCCATCTTTGCTTCGGCCGATGAATTTGCTTCGCTTTTGGAAGATGAAGGCAATTCAAAAGTTGCTCCTGGTTCATCGCAACAATTCGCAAACACTGATAAAGCAGGCAAGTATTTCATTCTCATTCATATTATATAATTTGATATTTACTTTTTTTTTAATATTTAGGTGCCAAACAATTGGATTGGGAAGATAAGCGTAATCGCTGGATAAGTGGTTATAATTCCGCGATGGGTAAAAACAAGGGCAAGAAACGACCAAACTACTCTTCAACACACAAAAATAAAAAACAGAAAAAGTCTCGTTAATAAATGGAAAATCATGTTTATAAAATCACAGTTGCATATTGTTTGCATAATAATTCGTCTTGGAGTTTAGAACGGCTCGGTTGGCACTAAAGTAAACCATCGGCCACATTCACAGCGTTTGCACTCGTTTTCGTGCAACCACATCCAATTGGGGTAGACCGCTTCCTCGTTGCAAATGCAACCGACGATGCGCGAATCGAAGGCGGACTTGATCTGTATGGGATCATCTTGCGTGCCGGTGCCTACCTTGCACAGTTCCAATCCGAAAGGGTCACAGTTACCCGCCATTTTGGCTAACAACTCGCGCTTTTCTATTCCAGTTGCGTGTTCCACCGGGTCGCCCATTGTGATCTTGGTGACGTAACATCTCGGAGCCAAAGTGCGGAATATTTGTGGGCCGCGGCGTGCGGCTCTCAACGCGGAGGAAAAGAGGGACATTTCGAACCACTTTCGCTCTTGCTATGTTTTATAACGTGAAAATGACAGCGAAAAATCGAATTGATTAATTAATTTGATAAACAAGGCAACAAGTATTTTTTCAAATCATTTGTTTTTGAGTTTTGTTGGAATATCAAGATGGCTTAGCCTTCATCTGTTTTGGAATCAATGTTGAAATTGCTACAAAGTTCGTCTCTGATGTTTAAAAGTTGTCTCTGGAGTTCTTCGTTGTTGTCTTGTAATTGCCGGATTGTGTCTTTGTAAATCTCCTCTTTGAGTTTGTATTGTGCAATGGTCCTGACCATTTTTCATCATGACCTAAGTGGTTTTCAATGGGCTCGCCTTTTAATTTGTTAATTTCCATTTGCATCCGGGTGATCTTGTGAGACCATTCAGCGTCTTTGTTTTTATTATAAAGCCGTGCACGTTGCAAATCACGATCGTTTTCATGCAATTGTGATTTCAACGTTGTAATTTCTGAATGTAGCTTTGCCAAAGTGTTAGTTTGTTTTTTATTATCATTTTCTAAGTCATTAATTTGATCTTTTAAGTCATCAATCTTTTTCTAATCAAAATAAAACAATAAAATTAAAAACTAAGGTTTTAAACAATATATAAATCTCACCTCTTTAATTTTTAATTCTTTATGAATTTGTGAGTTCACTATGTTTGCATCTTTTGCTTTTGTCATTGATGTTCTGTACATTTGCACAAGTCTGCTAGCACCAGAAATAACTTGATGTAGCACATCTACTTTAATATTAATAATTGGCAATCCCAAACAATCAAATTCCTATCAAATAAAAATGCATTCTATAGTATATTCCATTGCCCATAAATTATTAAACTTGCCTGTGATAACTTCAACAGTTCTTGTTTCACAATGGAATCCATGCTTATCATATACAGTTACACGCGTATTATATGATTGCATTCAACGAATCAAACCCTATCAACTGACATTTGCAGAATTTCGAATATTTACAGCAATTAGAAACTTGTGACAACATCAAGTAAAGCAGAGACAAGCTTTGTGGTTAAACACCTACTAACGTAATTGTGTATTAGGTTGCATATTCATATCTTAATTCATGTTTTGACTAAACAGTAATGTCATTTAATTGGTTTTTAATCATAGACAATTTGAAACTTGCTTGTAACACCTACATTGATACAGATTTTTTGTATACAACATTGCAAGTCATGCACAACAAAATGCCACGTATTTATATGTTACTATTCCAGAATTTTACCAGCCTTGACTCTACCTTGAGTAAATAATTATTTGTAGAGGTGGGCATACAGGTATGAATAAAACAGGTGACGCCGGCCGGTTTCAAACATCCAATAATCTACTTCTTGCTGTGCGGTGCTCGTGTTTTCAGTTTACAACATTTCTACTGCGTGGTAATTATATTATTTTATTTTACAAGTATTCACTATTGATGTGTAGGTGTATATTTAGTATTAGAATTAATTGTTATTTGTCAAATCATGCCCTAAATTTTCCAGTTGTTGATTAGTTATTGATAAGTGATAAGTGATTGATAAATGACACAAAAATGCCACAGATGGCAGTGGAAAAGTTTACAAAGTTCTTGGGGAACCTTTAGTTCGCTTACATTGTAGTGGAGGTGCATTAATAATAAATTACAAAATCAATAAGTAAAAATAGACGAAAGTAAGCTATAGAAAATATTGTCAGCATATTACGGGTCAGCGAACATTTTTCATTTTTCACGTCACAAACCTAGTTTTTATATCTGAAATAATGTGACCTTGCTGTAGGAAATTAAATCCGGATTCATGACTGATAATTAATGACAGTGCTCAATTGATGAGTAACTTTTTAATGACTGGCAGTATTTAGTTGCATAATATTGCTCGGATTTCAACGACCTGATCGTTATTTACTGGTGCTTTCGCCACTTGTCGGTGGTTTCAAGTGTTTGACTTGGCATTTTTTTCAATTTACTATATCGTGTTGTGACAACGCTTGTTTACAAACGATTGAAACGTGTGAAACCATAGGGACCGTTTAGCAAACAAGACAAGGTAAACATCAGCCTGAAGTTCTAATAGTAATGTAGTATGGAATGAAAATCACAGCAAATAACTTCAATCAGCAAATTTAAAGCTGTTTTTTAAATCGAGTTTTCTATTTTTGTTGAAGAATTAACCATGGCATCATACAAACTTTCTTACTTCAACATCACGGGGTTGGCAGAGCCCATCCGCATGTTGTTGAAATACGGAAACATCGACTTTGTTGATGATCGTGTTGAACGTGATGATTGGCCAAATCGTAAACCAGGTAAAATTCCGAGATAAATTAAAATTCATGCACAACTTATATTTTATAAATTTTTAATTATTTCTCTAGAAATGCCTTTCGGAAAGATGCCAGTTCTCACCATCAATGGCAAACAATACCATCAAAGTCTTGCCCTGGCGCGCTACTGCGCCAAACTAGTAAAACTCGTAGGTAAAGATCAACTAGAGGATCTTGAGATCGAAGGCATGGTTGAAACCATCAATGATTTAAGACAGCGTAAGTGTAGAAAGCCTCTGCTAGAAAATGTTCAATATCAAAATGACCTGTAAATGTTTACAATGCAGATATTTCCATGTACAGCTATGAGGCTGATCCAGCTATTAAGGAATCACGAAAAGATAAACTTTTCAATGAGACCATCCCCTACTTCCTGGAGCGACTTGATAAAATCGCAAAGGAAAATGGCGGCCATTTAGCGTGTAATAAAGTATGTACCTTGAGAAATAATTAATGAAATTGTTTTAACTTATTTAACTTTGTTTAGCTAACATGGGCTGACATTTACTTTACTTCTCTCTCGGATCACATGATTGTTATGACCAACCGAGAAGTGTTGGCAAAGTATGCCAACTTGACGAAGGTGCGCGATACTGTACTCGCCATTCCACAAATTAAGAAGTGGGTTGAAGTGCGTCCTAAACCCTAAACATTGAAAAAACTATGAACAAAAGCATAACATAATAAATTTATAATAAAAACATTTATGAAGTACAAGTTCTTATTACTATTCCGATAACTCTTTTGTTACAATAATGCATAATCGATTGTATTGATCATATGTCGTTTTCTTATCATGTACCATGAAAATAATTCGAGACCAATATGGATCAAAATGTGTTGATTCTAATAATGCCGACTCACTTCGCTGATGTGGTTGCATATGTATGATTACACTTTTGTGTAATGTTACTTGATTTGTTTTTAATTCCTAGCTGATAGGACCTGTGGTTAACTTGAAACTTGAGTATAACGCATACATTGTCATAGATATTTTGTATACAAACACAGCGCATTTAACTTGAAATTCCATTTAAACTCGTTCATGTGTTGATTTTATTAACCTTGAACGATGCGTGTTCTGCGCGTGCGTGAATGAATAAAAACCGGCAACGCCGGCCGGTTTCGAACATTCAGCATTCCTGCGAGCCTGTAGCAACTTGTCGTTCTGCTCAGTTTTCTACATTTCATCTCAGTGGTGAGTTATTTTCAGTACTTATTTTTCATAAACCTGAAGCATTGCGTTTAGAATTCGAACAATAAAAGTTAATAGGATATTTAAAGTTATTAGTTTATTAGTTTATAGGATACTAAAATGTAAATAAATGAAATTCGATATGCAAAAATATGCAGCGGTAACTAACAACGCAGTAAAAAAAAACAATGAAACCATTATATGGGCACACGCCTGTTGCGATTGTTGTGTAAAATAGCGAATTGGGCGATTCAACTATTTCGACCTTGAATCATTTAATTTGACATCCGTTGAGAAGGGGGCACGCAGCGTAACGATTCACAGCTCACTCGCTTCCTCAATTAGATGAGTAATTTTGTAATACTCGCGTGTGTTTTCACTTCAGTTATGTAATATAAATATCTGTACCATACCGGTTCGACAATCATCTTATCTATTTGTAAACAAACACCATAAATTTTATTCCACATGCCCATGACTTTGCACATTTAATTATCGTACAAATATTAATAAATTACTGCAAGTTGTGCTTTCGATTGTTTGATTACACATTTTTCTGAAAGCAGCGATAACGAATGTTTAAAAAACAATTACCATGCATTTGAAACTATGGCAAACATTTGACAAACGGCATAAACAAACGAATTAAAGTATATCCTGTCATAGTTAATGATTCAGAGCGTCGGCGGTGTTCCTATAATTACAGTAGATTATTAAATAATGCAGATGGAAGAAATGGCACTGAAAACAGCTGAGGGGGACGGTTCGCATCTAGAGGACTGTTATGCGATTCATCGCAATCGCAAAGCAATCAATCTTTTCGCGCTCGACGGTGGCCGCCATTTGTGATTTTCGTATTTGTATTATAACGCGTGCCTGCGCTCCGTTTGTTTCAGAATCAGCCATGGCTCCTACATACAAAATCATCTACTTCAACGTGACGGCATTGGGCGAGTCGTGCCGCATGTTGCTGAAGTACGCTAACATCGACTTTGAAGATGAGCGTATCGAGACTGACGACTGGCCAAACCACAAAGCAAGTAAGTTGGTGAGAATTAATATTCATTAATGCTTATTCGGGTAGTTTCTTATTTCGTTTTAATGAATTAATTATCGGAAAATTGTGAGCAGTTTTCAATTAAATTTTCAATTTCAATGAACTTTTAATTGAACCTTGCCTTTATGTGTTAGATTAGTACGTAAAAAGTTATAGTCAATTGAACTTCATTAATTAATCATTTTACAGTGTTTACCTTTGAATTTAATAGCGAATAGTATTTTTTTGTTGATTGATTTTTCAATAGTTTGTGAATTTGTTTCATTTACACTTTGTTATTGTTTTCGCAGAGATGCCTTTCGGACAAATGCCGATTTTGGTAATCAACGGCAAGCAATACCATCAAAGTCTTGCTATGGCACGTTATTGCGCCAAGCAGGCTAAGCTTGTCGGCAAGGATGATCTGGAGGATCTCGAAATTGAGAGCATCGTTGAAACCATCAACGATTTGAGGCTTAGTACGTTCCTAAATTTAAAAAATAATGAATAAGGATTGCTTATATTTATTTTTCCGTCAGAAATTGCTCTGTACAGCTACGAGAAGGATGAAGCCATCAAGGCATCGCGCAAGGCTCCTCTCTTCGAGGAGACCATCCCATACTACTTGGAACGTATCGATAAGATTGCCAAGGAAAACGGTGGACATCTTGCCGTGAACAGGGTACCACAGGAAACAAATTCTTTTAGTTTGGTAGTTTTCTGACTTGTTTTCTTGTTTAGCTTACCTGGGCCGACATCTATCTGACTTCTATATTGGATTACATCAACTTCATGATTGAGGGTGACCTTTTGGAGAAATACAGCAACTTGCAAAAGGTACGCGATACTGTCCTCGCCATTCCACAGATCAAGAAGTGGATTGAGGAGCGTCCCAAGGGATGGTGCTAAACTACAGCTTCGAATAAATCAAAACGTTTGAAAAAACGCTAAACGTACTATATATTTTTCAATAAATGCACTTCTACTTGTAATTAAAATCAGTTTTAATATTCTGATTCGGGTCTTTTGCCGATCCAAGTCGCGATTGCTGGCATCGACCGAATTTTCTTTCTTAGATTGTCCAAGTGGGGGTATTTCTCGGCATTGATTATATCTTCTTTCAATACCCCATTGTTGTAATCTAGTATCGCCACAAAAAATATATCAGCTCACGACAACTGGAAATAGGAGATTAGTTCTATAATTTTTCACAAGTTCATCAACGGCTTGGTAATTCAATTGGTTAACATTTTGATTGTTTATCAGTTGGTCTCTCATGGGTTGAGATCCCAGAGCCGAAGATTGTTGTGTGGTTGAAAGCCCTTATAACCTAGCCTAACTTACTTTGCCATTGGCTACGTAACCCTCCGACGCCATTTTTTCAAAGCGGTTTAAGTAAAACGGTATAGTTTCGTTCAACAATGCAAGTCTAAGCTGTGCACGTGTTTGCGAGCTGTTTGGTAACTTATTATAAGTTGCAATTTCTGTAAAGTTTAGCATCTATTAATAAGTAATCATGTTTTGGATCTTTTTATAGATTATACTTGTGCGTAAGTCAGAAATAGAATCAACTACTATATCGATCTCAAAGTTTTCCCATGCGTTCTTTCCGGATAGGCCCACAACTGCTCCAAGATAGCGGCAAATTGCAACGCTCTGATGCATTACTTTTCCATCAATTTCTAGAAGGGTAATGCCCCAAAGGGCGATTCTATAATAGATTATAGTAATTCTAAGCTTTAAGAGCCTATGATAGACTTGTTACTGTTTTTCTGTGCTTCCCATTCTTCATGGCATAATCGAATGTCCTGAAACTGTAGGCCTCCATAGCTCAATAACCATCTGATGGGCTCTCCAAGGGCCATTACAGTGAAGTAGGTTAATTTATAAGTGGATGAAGTCATCACAATTTCTTTCTATGTTGAGTAGGTTTGACGTTTATTAATTGGTAAAAGCAAGGGGCACAGTATTAAAAGTCAGAAAATACTGTTACCTAGTAACTGTTGCTTGATATTCTATATAAACTAGGAACATTTTGGTGATTTCAAGAAAGAACACTCTCTAACGGTGCCTCCCTCACACGACTGACCCACACAAATTCAAAGGAAGGAAGAGGAATTTCTGCTCCATTCTCATGCTACAGAAAGATTGTGTAAAACCATATTATATTTCTGCCAGTTGTTATAATTTATACTTTTGATACATTTTTGTTTGCGTCCTGTAAATTTTGTAAATCAAGCGAAGTCACGATTCTATTTGCCTTATCAATTGAAAAATAATCATCTTTTCCGGCATCCTCCGGAAGCCATCGGTGCACCAACGGCGACAGTAATCTCTTGTCAACATGTCCCCCATGATCAGTTAGTAAAGAAACAACAATACCAACCGCAATACACACAACACAACCAGTCAAAGCATAGTAATAACTGGCGACTCGATATAGAAAGAAAATATCTGTTGGCGCATCTAAAATTGTTGAATTGTTTTCAACAACAGGCACTTCAAACGTGCACTGCTCTGTGCTTAAATGTGTGGGTATATTTTTGATCATATCTTTGGATCGGTACCATTGCGCCCCTACGAACATCCAGCCGACGAATAGAGTAGAAATTATTACTCCAGAAAATGCACCCTAGGATATCGAATATTATTTTACAATCTTCAAAATTAAACTAAAATTAAAACACTTACTTTTGTATTGGCTCTGGGGACCAGTACACCAAGGGTGAATAACCCAAAGAAACTTCCCGCTGATATACTAGCAACACTGATAGCAAGCGGTTGGATTGGTCCAAGATATCCAACAAGCGAAGCGAGGAATGTAATTAGCACGCCCATTACGACAACGAGAAGTTTTATCGTAATTGAAGTATACTGTTCTTGCTTTGCAAACTTGGGCAGAAACTTTGCAACAAAGTCTTGGTAGATCGTAGCTGAGAGCGCATTCATAATGGCCGATAACGTGCTAAAATATTAAAAATAACAATAAACAATTAACAAAAATAACAACAAAATTAACTAATTTTGATCAAACCTCAGTGCGGTGCAGAAAACTCCCGATAAAAACAATCCAGTCAGTCCAGGCACTTTAGATGCTACATCAGCAACATAAAATGGTACTAATTGATCAATTTTTGAAATGGAGCCCGACATCAACGGGTCACAGTCTTTGTATAACGTAAACATTATCAAACCAGTGATAACAATGATACTCTTCACGCAAATAATGCCAAAACAGAAAAGGAATATCGATCTGGAAGTATTAATAAACTATAAGAAATAATTTTGATTGATGTGATGGTTGTTACTAACTGTTGGGCCTTTTTTAATGTCGGCAAGGACAAAAACTTTAGCACACACTCTTGACTTGTTGACAACATTCTTGTGTATGAAAGAAACCAATGCATCAGCACAGCAAAGACAGTTTCCCGTTTTGTTAGATCTAAGTCAAAACTACGAAGTCAATCATTAATATTACTAGTTCAGGTTTGAAAATATTTACTCACTCAAAATGTAAACGACTTCCTTCCCATGCAGTCTGGAATACATTAGTGAATCCTCCAGCTTTAGTCACACCCAAATAAAAAATTACTACAACCGCGGTTGATGTCACGGAAAACTGCAGTGTGTCAGTCCATACAACGGTTTTCAACCCTCCAATCGTAGTGTAAAACGTGCAAATTGCACAAATTGCCGGAATAATATAATGGACACTCAATCCAGTGGCTAAAAATTAAATATTCACTTTATTTTTAACAATATTTTAGTTTAAACGTCTTACCTTTTGAATACGCTAGAGCCGGAACATAAACCACAATCCCCATAAACAGAAGAATATTAAGAATAAAAAACAGTGAGCACATGGTTCGTATGGACGAATTAAACCGCAGCATAAGATATTCATAGGTACTGTTTAGTTGAAGCTCGTAGAAAACAGGCAGGAAAATATAACTTGTCGCAAATGCACTGACCATAATAGAAATAGTGCTCAGCCAATACATTGCACCAAAACTATACACGTCAGCCGGCACCGCCATTAAACTTACACTTGATATGTGACTGAAAATTGCATCATGATTGAATACGTAAAACATGCGCAATAAGTATAGAAATACCTTGCTACCAAGGAGACGGCGATGGGCATCACTGACATTTTCTTACCGCCCATAAAATACTCATCTGTGATGTTCTTCTTATTGGCGCCTGTTATGCTAAAATATATCCCAATGGCGGTGCTCAAGAACAGCATAAATCCAAAGAACGCGTGATCGTACCATTGGAAATAAATTAATGGCGCGGTACCCGTGATGTTGGCGGCTGGGTTCTCCATTGTTCACGCAATCGTACTAAGCGGTTTTCAGGGAAATTGGTGAAATTTAAGCGAAATCTGATTGTAAATTTCGAATTTGATTATATTTGCATAGCGGGATGATAAGTGCTACTGCTAGCAGCAAATTATCATGACTTGTAAATTTCTTGTTACAAATTACACATTACACATCTTTCCACTTGCTGTTTGCGCTCCTACACACACGCACACTGCCGCTATCAGTGATGTTTGTTCTCAGTTCCAGATAGTATTTTTAGTATTTTTATTTAAGTTCAAATAGTCTTACAAATTTTACTAATAATATATAAACGAGCCTAAGAGTATCTTGTTTACTGCGCTGACCCAGCGATAAGCGCTCCAATTCAACTTGTGGCTTTTTGTTTGTTGGAATCGTATGTGACCATGGTCAAAGCGCGGTCCACAGTGTAATACTGCTTCTTGTCTGGCAGATACCGACGGATTATCGGCGACAAGAGATCAGGATGAACCGGAGGAGAGTCATCCTGGGTAAATGCACTGACAATATTGCCAACTAGTAATGTGATACTAGCTCCGATAAGAGTGTAGTAATAAAAGGAGATTCTAAAAAGCCATAGAACATCATCTTGTGCACGAGGATCAATATTAGTTGAGTTTGCTGGCGTAAACTCAAAGTCACAGGTTTCGGTTGAAACCGGTTTTGAGGTGTATGTGATCAGTTTGTGTGCTTTGTAATATTGCACGGTCACAAACAATGTTGAAATCATTCCTAGGGCTGTGAGGGCACCCACCATTGCACCCTTGAATTACATTGCCATTAAAATATATACAAAACCATTAAAATCAATGTAAACTGATAGTACCTTTGCGTTGGCCTTTGGGAATAGAATACCCAGGGTGAAAATACCCAAAAGTGGGCCTGATGCAACCCCGGTGAAGCTAATCATAATCGGTAGTAGATTCCCAAGGTGTTCCACAACCCGTACCAGTAATACCGATATAACACCAATGCCAATCACCAAACCTTTAAGAATATATCCAACTCGTTGTTCTGTGATATCTTTTGACATGTACTGGGACAGAAAATCTTCGTAGATTGTTCCAGCAAGGCAATTCAATGACGCTGATAGGGTACTTAAAGAAGCGCAAAAGATTCCTGCGATAAACAAACCAGGTAATCCAGGCACAGATCCTGATACATCCATTACATAATGTGGTAGGATTTTATCCGCTTTCGTGATTTGCCCGGACAATAACGGGTCACACCCGAAATATTTAACGTACATTATTAGACCTGTTAATATACAAGTGATTTTTACTGTGACAGCACCTACTACATACCATGCAAGAGCTCTGAAACAAAATTATTCGTGATATGAAGAAATTCATTACCTAATAATTGTATTCATTACTTTTTTGCATCGCTTAATGTTGGCAACGCTAGGAATTTCTGTACGCAAGATTGAGAAACTCCCAACATTGATAGGGAATTGAAGGACCATCCCAAAACAATCACCCAGAAAGAGTCACGTAGTGTTGGGTCCGGGTTGAAGCTAAATATTAATTAATATGTTATTAATTTTGCATTGCTGTTAAGAATAAGATTAGATCATTTACTCAATATGAAAACGTTCTCCTTCCGCTGCTTTATTAAAAACATTGCCTATTCCACCAGCGGATATCAAGCCCATATAAAGAACAGCAATAATGGCGCCGATTGAGACACAGAATTGTAACATGTCCGTCCATACAACAGCTTTCAATCCACCGATTGTTGTATAGAAAATACACACGGAGCAAATTATAGGTGTTATCATGTGTATATTAATATTAGTCACTTGAAAACAATAATAGTTTTGAATTTAGTTAAAAAAAAGTTAAATTTGTATAGATACCTTGTTCCAATGCCAGAGCGGGTACGTATATTACCACAGGCAAGTGTAATAACACGTATAGAGTGAAAAGAAACGACGCCAACATACGGATTTGTGCATTAAAGCGCATTTTTAAATATTCATAAGTACTGGTCATTTGCAATTTATGAAAAACAGGCAGGTAAACATAGGCGTTGATAACTGCAGTCAAAAAAACTGAAATACAACTAATGGAATAATTAATTCCAAAGTTGTATACATCTGCAGGTATGGCCAGGAGAGCCACTCAGATATTTTACTATAAACAAAAGTATACTTTAAATATATGCTAACACAACACTCTGTATAATATAAATAGTATAGTATGTTTATACCTGGCTACGAGTGACATAGCAATCGGAAATGGTTTCATCGCCCTGCCACCAAGCAGGTAATCACTGGCGGTGTTTTGTTTCCGGATGAAACCAAACCATATTCCAATCAATACGCTGAATACCAGCATTGACGAAAAGAGAGCGTAATCATACCAAGTGAAGGTAATTTTTGATTGGATTGTCGCTGAAGATGCCGGCCAGGTAAAACCCGGAACTGTTTGTGAACTTTCCATTGCTTCGGACATTTAACTGCAGTAAATGTACGAATCGTATTGCTTACTGATTCTGTATTGTAACGGCGTTGATTAGTCAACGGTTGTTATATCAGGATGGAAATTTTTCGAGGCGCTGCACGCCACCATGGCAAACAATCTTTGTTGGCGTTGTATCGTAAATCAATTACGGGCTCAAACATTACAAAACTAAATCATCATTTCTCCACGTGTTCAGATGTTCCGAGAATGATTTTTCTGAGGTTTTAGTATAGTGTTTATAAAACGATGAATGAATTTAGGAACGGTAATATAAACAATTTGATTTGTTTAAGTTTCTATTTTTATTTGACTAAATTTTAATTTACATTTGGTTCTGTTGGCTTTTGTGTGATTTTTCCGTCCGAGTTGACTTGATTCTCGAATGTTACCATGTCCAAAGCACGATTTACAGAGTAATAGTCGAGTTTATCGTCACGTAACCATGGTCTGATGACTGGTGATAAAAGATCACGATGTACCGGTGGCGAATCATCTTGAGTCCATAAACTGACTACGTTTCCTACAACTAGCACAATAACTGTACCAATCATGGTGTAGTAATAGTAGGAGATGCGGAAAATGAAATGGACTTCCGGTACATCCACGTCAAGCAAAATACTAAACAAAAATTTAAAAATTCATTAAATCCAATGTAATTAGATGATAATACATTAAATTAACTCACGTGGTGTTCTTTGGAAGAATATCAAACGTACAACCTGCAGTTGATGCTGCTTTTGGCGTATGTGTTATCAATTTCATTGCTTTGTAATATTGCACAGTAATGAATAAAGCAAATATGCATATTAAACCAGTCACAGTGCCCACCATTGCACCCTATAATTACATTAATTTAAATCACGTTATTACATAAAATTATGAACAAATATACAAATAATACCTTTGCATTTGCTTTGGGAAATAACATTCCAAGAGTGAATAGTCCTAAAAGTGGTCCTGAAGTAACTCCTGTGAAACTGATCACAAGCGGAAGCAAGTTGCCTAGATGTTGAACAACATAAACCAACAACATGGACACAATCCCGACGATAGTAACCAGCCATTTTAGAATATTACTAACAGTCTGTTGTGTTACACTCTTTGGCATGTAGTGCGAAATGAAGTCTTCGTAGATTGTTCCGGAAACGCAATTCATTGACGCCGAAAGCGTACTGAAAATATTTTAATCAAAATCAATAATTTTGTTGTGCATTTGTATTAATAAACTATACCTTAATGATGCACAGAATATTCCTGCAATGAATAAACCAGGCAAACCTGGAATACCAGCTGATACATCCATTACGTAATACGGTAATATTTGGTCGGGTTTGGTGATTACACCGGAAGTAATCGGATCGCATTCGGCATACATTGAATACATGATTAATCCTGTTATAACACATGTAGTCTTAACAAGAACAGCACCAAAGATGTACATTGCAAGCGCCCTAAAAATATTTACTTATTAACATTAAATTTCCGGTTTTCAAAGTCAATATTAAATATACAGTCGGGCGTCGTTTAAAGTAGGCACAGCCATTAATTTTTGTACGTAATGTTGTGATGTGGCCATGTGGGCCAGGTTATTCAAAGACCATCCGACTACAATTACCCAAAATGAATCTCTGAGTGTGGGATCAATGTCAAAACTGCAAAATAGTAAAAGTGGTTAATATTTGTTTATATTATTTTAAATAATGAAGTATTATTACTCGATGGTAAGTCGGTCACCTTCTGCTGACTTCCTGAATACATTTCCTAACCCACCGGCTGACACTAGTCCCAAACAGAAGACAACAATCATGGCGCCGATTGTCAAACTGAATTGTAACATGTCTGTCCACACCACAGCTTTAAGTCCTCCGATAGTTGTGTAGAATATGCAGATTGCACATATTACAGGTGTTATTAGATGAATATTGATATCCGTCACTGTGGGAGATTTAGTTTATAGTTTCGTGTATTTTTAAGTAAGCAGAGCTAATATCTTGACCTACCTTGTTCCAGAGCAAGCGCCGGTACGTAAATCACTAGAGGAAGGTGCAATAGCACACCTAAACCAAAAAGAAACGAAGCCAATACACGAATCTTGGTGTTAAAACGCACTTTTAAGTATTCGTAAGTGCTGGTAATCTGCATCCCGTGGAATACGGGTAAGAATACATATGCATTGATGATGGTGGTCAGGGCGACGGAAATACAACTTATCCAATAGTTGATACCAAACTGGTAAACGTCTGAAGGTATTGACAACAGGGCCACACCAGATATCTGACTGCAAGTATTGATTTCGTTTTTTTACAGTTTTTGTTTTGTTTAGATTTTACTTACCTTGCTACTAGGGACATAGCAATTGGGACAGGCCTCATCGTCCGGCCACCAAGAAGATAATCATTGGCGGTGGCTTGTTTTTTAATAAAGCCAAAATATATTCCTATCAGGACGCTGAATAACAACATTGATGAGAAGAGACTATAGTCATACCAAGTAAAGTTAACTTTGGCATTTCCGGAAGTGAGTACATGACCAACGCCTAATGTCACGCTGTTTTCGGTGGTATTCACCAAGGACAGATTAACCATCGTGCTGAACGAATTACAATCAAATAATTGGTGGAGTTTCGAGTTTTGGAATTGTTTGCCTCTTTGCTATACATTTCGTCGTACAAACAAAGCGAGTGCTGTGTACACAAATGTCTGGTTTAATTTACTGAATATAAATCAATCGCTATCCAAATGGAAAGAAGCAAATATAAAACTAAATGAGACCATAAAAACTGAGCTATCTCGCGACGCTCATTCAGAATAATCAAACGGGGACATTGTTTTCTGATAGCGCGTAAACAATTGAGACGGGCAGTAAACACCAGATCGAACAAGTGGAATTGTTTTATTTACATCAATGACATCAAAACATATTTTTAATTGATTGAACTTTCAATGTCTTCACCGAAGGTATAATGTTCTATTCTACGCATTAATTTCGTTGTTCTTGGCTTTTCTACGCACAATTAATATTCATAACGTAAAATTTTATTAAGTGAGACGTCATTTTGATTATTTGCCAAGATGATACTGAAAACACGTGTAAATACGCATACGTGTAAGTCTTATCTTCAAACGTAATAATTTATATTTTGCCACAAATATCTGTGTATGTACAAAGTTAACAAAGCTAATACCTAGGAATCTAGATAATACAAGAATAAGTGGTTATTTTTGGTTCACGACTATTTGGCTGGCTTTCGCGACACTGTAGTATTCAGGCAGCACTGTTTTATCCAACGCCCAATGCATTGCCGGACTGATGAGATCTTTGGAGACGGGTTTTTCTTTTCCACTTCTGGTCATGTAACTGACTGGAATGCCAATGAGAAGTACAAGAAGGCAGCCCATCATGCCGTAGTAGTAATGAGTGATTCTATAGATAAATGGAGGTGACCACGTTGGCTCGGGTGGAAATCTAAAAAAAACGCATAGAAATTAAATTACTGGCTAATTACTTTATGTGGTGAGGTGATTGCTTACTCTCGAAATGTTGTGTTTGCCGAATACATGCAATCCACGGTTGATACTACTTTGGGATGGTCAGTGATGTATCCCGACATCTTGTAATACAATTTCGTGAAAATAATCCAACCCATAATGAGCATAGTACCAATAGTTCCTGCTAGTGCACCCTTTGTATTGGCTTTAGGTACAAACATGCCCAAAGCAAATAAGCCAATTGCTGGTCCCTGAGTAAAACTGCCAAACGTCAAACCAATTTCTAGAATTGATTTGAATTTTTGCACTACAAACACCAAGGCGGTGCAGACAACTCCGACTGCTATGACAATTGTTTTAAGAATTAAATTGATTTTTCGTTGAGAGATATCTTTGGGTAAATGGGCCAAGATAAAGTCTTCGTAAAGCGTGCATGATAATGCGTTCATTGCAGCGGAGAGTGTGCTTAGGGATGCGCTGAATACACCCGCAATGAATACACCAGGCAGACCCGGAATGTTACTCGTCACTTCAAGTATGTACAAAGGCAAGATCTGGTCGTAAATGTTGATTTTCTTATTCATGTACGGATCGCATGTTTTGTACCTGGCGTACATCATTAGACCAATGTAAGTGCTGAAGCTGAAAAACGCGATGATACCAATGCCGAACGCAATGTACGCGTTGCGGATTTTACGAGAATTGGGAAGTGCTAAACATTTCTGAACACAACCCTGACCAAACGTGATAATTCCATTCCATAAGAAAAACATTCCAAGGATTATCGTCCAAAGAGTATCACGTTTTGTTGGGTCTACATCATAACTGAAAGAAAATTCAACCTACATTATCAACAAATAGATTTTATTCAAGTAACACTTACTCTAAGTCAAGGCGTCCGCCATCTTGGGCGTCACGCATGACAGCCCCAATGCCTCCTGATGCAGTTGTCCCAACATAAGTTACCACTAGGGTTGCTCCAATCATCACAACAAATTGTAGTGCATCTGTCCAGACTACTGCCTTGAGCCCACCAACTGTTGTATAAAATATACACACACCACAAATAAGAGGTGTGATATGATGTATATAAAAGCCGGTCCCTTGCGCTAGGGCCAATGCAGGGATGTAAATCACAATAGGCAGGTACAAAAACATAGACATGGTAAACAGTAACGATGAGATACCACGAATGCTTTCATCAAATCTACTATTTAAGTATTCATAGGTACTCGGGGTTTTCAGTTTGGTAAACACCGGAATCACGCACAAGTATGAGAAGATCAAAACTGCAGCTGCTGAGAATATACTCAGCCAATAACTGAAGCCAAACCGGTAAATCTCCGATGGCACTGATAATATTGTTATTCCGGAAATTGTACTGGCAATCAGAGACATGGATATCTCAAACACGCCCATTTCTTTTCCGCCAAGAAGGTATTCATCTGCACTGTCTTCTTTCTTCTGGAAGAAACCAAAATATACACCGATGGCGGCGCTGAGCAAAAGCAGGATAATGAAGAACAAATAATCGTGCCATGTGAACTGTGGCATCTCTTCCAAGATGGTGGTCGCAATGGTGGTGGCATTCATTCTTGCACCGGCTACCGCTGCAACACACTATTTATTCCCAGTGACACACTTGCGCGTGTCGTTTATATCAATATTGTTATAAGTCGATGAGAGACAACAAAAACAGCCACAGTGAGATATCCGTCGAATGACGCGGTGGGTACCAATCTGGACGCGTCGCGGTCGTCTATCGACAGTTTTGTACTCGTGCGAGTTTGTTGCATTGTCACGATAATTATGTACACAACTGGGGACAAGTCTACACAGGGCTTTTGTGTACTTTGGATTAAATGATTAACGTAATGATACTGCCAAAACTGAAGCAAGCGCGAGGCGGTAAACTTCTACAAACAAATGGTAAATCTTCATCATTGTCCTTGCTAACGCTTATTGTAAGAATTGTTTGATTTAGTTCAGTACCCTGTGTCTGAGATAGATAACAACCAGAAAATATAAATGGCAGGCTTTTAAATATATCAACCGTAGGTTTTAAAATAACTGTACAAGTTCATATCACGTTTTGTTTGTACTTATATTTTATTTGTAACAGTCTACGTTGCATTCGTTTGTTTTTCTGCATGTGTTACCACTCCTAGCGCTTTGTTTACTTCATAATAATTTCCCTTTTCAGGTTTTTCTAGTCCAAATTTGCTTGACACCCAATAACTGAACGGACTGATCAAATCCGGATCCACCTTTGGATCGGTAGGTTTCCGTGTCAGGTACGACACGACAACTCCAATTATAACTGTAGCCAGGGTACCCATAAAACTATAATAGTAGTGAGTTATCCTAAATAGAATAAAGACGTCGCTCTTATCAACGCTGAAAGATAATAATATTGGATTACAAACGAAATATCAAGATGATTTGAAATGTACCTTGAATCTGGTAAATTAGGCAATAATATAGTGCCGTTGCCACATCCTTCTATAGATACGGGTCTCCCAGCATACTCGTTCATGACCTGATAGTATTGACTACCAATTATAATAAAAGACATAAATGCAATGCCTCCGAATCCACCATAAAGCGCGCCCTAAATGTAGTTAAAATGATTAATTCATTCAAAAATCAGTTAATTATTATTTGTTAGCAGACCTTGTGATTTGCAACTGGAAATAACATTCCAAGAGTGAAAAGTCCCAGTAGGGGACCATTGGTAATACCGCCGAGAGCGTAGTTGATCGGCAAGATACTGCCCATATGTTCAATAACAAAAACCATGGCGGTACTTATAATTCCGATTATCATAACAAGTAATTTTAAAATATTTGACACTTGCTTCTGTGAGATATCCTTCGGCATGAACGGACTTACAAAATCTTCATACACAGATCCAGCGAGGCAGTTCATGCACGCTGATAGTGTGCTGAAATAGGTCATTGTGATTACTCGCAAAAATACGCCTCTGGTTATTTGTTTACCTCAACGCTGCACTAAAAATGCCAGATAGAAACAAACCGGCTAGTCCAGGTATTGTCGAAGCAACATCCATGACGTAGAACGGTAATATCTGATCGTGTTTCGTGATTTTTCCAGCTGTGAACGGATCACATTCGTAGTAGTGCGCGTACATAATCAAACCAGTTAACACCACGAAGGTAATGATTGCAAACATTCCAAACATAAATAAAAATAAAGCCCTGTTGAAGGAAAGCACGTAGAATATACGTTTCGAGCAGATAAAATGCTGACTCACTTTTTGACGTCTTTTTTAGTCGGCATTGAGAGGTATTTCTGCACAAAACTTTGACCAATACTCATGTAGCTCAGACAACCAAAAAGTGTACCTACCATTGTGGCCATCACAGTGTCCCTTTTTGTGGGATTTACATCCAAGCTGAAAATATATTTCAGTTATATGTAAGTAAGAGTTTTCTATATGATACTGTAATATTTACTCAAATTCTAATCGTCTACCAGCAGCGGCCCGAGACCACATTTCGTCAAAACTTCCAATGGCGTCCAAACCTTTATAAAACACCGCCACAATTGAACCAATCATTACAACAAATTGTAACGTATCAGTCCACACAACGGCTTTGAGTCCTCCGATGGTGGTGTAGAAAATGCACACACCACATAGAACGGGTGTCACAAGATGCAAGCTAAATTGAGTTGCTACGCCAACAAGAGATATAATTTCTTTTATGAAACTGCCAGATGTAACGAACTTACCTTGAGTTAGAGCTAAGGCTGGAATATAAACTACGATCGGCAGGTAAAGTAGAGTTGCCACAGTAGATAAACCAGAAGTGAGAAGTCGAATTTTCCTATTAAATCTCAACATCATATACTCGTATACGCTAACCAATTGTAACTTGTAGAATACCGGCAGATATACGTAATATGTGATGACATAAACTGGAATCAACATGCTGACATACATGTAGTACGTACTTCCGAATCGGTAGACATCGGTTGGGACGCCCAGAAGCGTAATTCCAGAAATATTACTGTCAAGCAACAAGGGTCATGATAAATTGATAAATAAGGTGAGTTCTTTTTTATATACCTGGCGACTAGCGAAATCGCAATCGGTACCACCGACATTTCTTTTCCTCCAAGTAAATACTCATTGATACTGTCTTGGTGGCCGCAGCAACCGAAATATAATCCAATTAGTACGCTTAGCAACAACATGGCGACGAACAGGCCATAATCGAACCACGAAAATGTGACCGGCACATTATAAAACACATCGGTAGCGTTCATGATATCTACACGTGTTGAGTGATGAAATTTAGGCGACTCTTACCATCCCGACATTTACCTCGTTTAAGTACATTCATTTATTTAACAAAATATATTCGTCTGTTAAATATTTGTCTGATGGTTGGCAAATACGAAAAGTTTGGTGTTTGCAAGACGAGAGCATTGCATAATGTACTGAATGGAAAGTAATCTGGATCATAAATTATGACGTCACATCGTGGCGCAACCACAATTTAAATTTCCTTTGTCTCAAAATCAATCCGTACTGCAAGATAGTATATTGATAGAAATATATTTAAACGTTTAACAAATTCTTCGTAATGAAACAATTGTTTTTCAATTATAATCTATACATTGCCATATTATTAATTGTCGGATAAGCAGGCCGCCTCGCGCCGTCCATTTCAGACGCCAAAGTATTGCCGGAAGTGAGCGTATGACTTGTGCCGCCGATAGTTAGACCACATTCGGGGCATTTTGCCTCCTCCATTGCACCACCACACTCACCAATCGCGTAAATGTGCCCTTTCGCACACTTAAACCAATGTCCAGGAGATAAACCAATCGCAGCGACAATCTCCCTTCGTTCAATTTCTGTGATCGCCAATCCGTTGTTAGCCGCTTTATTCAACGCTTCTAAAGCGCTTTTCACAAGAGTGTCCTGTGTCGCATCGTACATTTCAAATGTGAATATCAGGCGGTAGCAAGGCTCATATTCCTTCAACTTTTCAACTGCTGGATTCATTATCATGGCTCGCGCAAGATTCATGATCCGATTAAAGCGCAAAACTTCGATTTGGAACTCTTGAATCTGATATTGGTTGATGGAGACATCCGGCGAAATGAGTTTGCCGAACAAAAAAGAGAGGTAATCATCAACGAGTTGTTTCACCTTCGGACTACTCAAAGGTATATAATTAGGCATTGTGACGCCGTAACGAATAGTTGCCAGCTCTAAAAAGATTTTCACGCGTGCACGTAAAGATATCAAATTGGATTTAGAGTGGTCCTGGCGTTGATTCTTCTTGTTGGTAATTTTTATTTTATCTTCAAAGAATTCCAACACTTTTGTACAGACATGTTCACCTGAAATTGTCAAATACCAAGCCATGAATCACATGATAACAATAATATTTTAGCAGCTTACCGTAAACTTTCTTTGCGTCTTGAATATCTTTCTTCAACGCTCTGTTAAGTTCTGTGAGTTCCCTGGGATGCCCGCCGAAGTAGCGCTGTTTGATTTGTTCCACATTCTTGTGAGCAGCCTTAATATAATCGCGATAACGCGGCACCTGCACGTTAGCAGTGCATTTCGGACAACGAGGAATCTTCACCTCCTGCACATCGTTATCTTCGTCTGCTCCAAAGCACCGATCCAATCCGGAGCTTTCCAGCGTATGATTACAGTGCGCGAGGTATACAAACCTAGCATCTTCTTCGTCTTCAGTTCCAAAGAATACCTCAGTCACTTCATTTTTATCGCAAATACGACACAGTGGTGGGCAGACATCGCCGCAGAATCCGATACATTCATGTAAACAATCTAAAAGTTTGGGGCATGGCTCCTTGCACGGCTGCACGTCGCAAATTTCGCCGCATGTTCTCGAACACCTTTGATGAGGACAATTTCTATTACACTGTTCGGAACAAGGCGTACACGGGACACCGCACTGTTTCGTGCATCCACTATGTTCGCATTTATACTGACAAGGGCGTGCACGGTTTGCAATTCTCTACGCAGGGTGTAACACAGCCATGACCGCAGATGAGTGTCTTGTCGCATTTCTCGGCGCAAGCAACGTGGAAGCGCCCTTGAGCGCATTGTCCACATGTGCCTGGACAAGTATGCGCACACTCCAGCACAGCACTGCATTTGGCAGTGCAGAAAGAGAGAAGTTCATTGGTGATGACTGTCTCCGAGCGCATATAGCAAGGCACCTTGGGAACATGGCCACATGGAGCATTCAACATCACTGGCACAAGAATCTTGCATACTGCAGTGGAACACTTCTGCTTGCAAGGTAGTGGGCAAGGATGTCCACAGTCAAGTATCGCCGGGCACGCTTTATTCTTGCAGTTAGATTTGTCAGGCTGTTTGCCACATTCCCATTGAATGGTATGTCCGCATTCGGATATAATTTTGGGTACCTACAAAGCAAATTTGTAGATTCCAAGCGTTATTTGGACACAAATTCATTTAGGTTACTCACTTTAACTTTACAGGGTCCACATGGGTCTTTGCAGATATTCGTACAGTTGTGCTCGCAAAGCAACTTACGTTTGCAAGGGCGCTTGCACTGAACATCCTCAACGTCAGCATGACATGGCACATCATAGTAGTGATCGCAACTGCGTCTCTTCTTGACCTCCACACAACATACATCGCAGGTCTCAAAGCAGCGCTTCTGACAGGGATGCTTGAATTCATCTGGCATGGTGCAACCATTGTTTGAATTGACGCACTGTTTGCGACACATATACTTTTCGTGATTGGGATCTTTGCGAACATGACACAACATCGAGCAGGAGTGTCCGCAAGGCTCTACGCGCGCTTCGCAGGGATGTGGGCACCTAAACGATATCGGGTCTGCGTGGCAGGGCTTTTCGGCTTGATGACCGCACGGCAGCGTAGTTGGTACCTTAACATCACACAGTACTTCCTCAGGCAACTGATAACAGGGTATGTCCCTACTGTGCCCGCACGGCAGCGCGCTGAATTTGGGCACTTTGCATTTATCGCATTCCACAAAGCATTTGTCAGGGCAGATGTGCCCGAATTCGCACAGCACTCTGACAAAACAGATATTAAAAACAAGAATTTCAATTGAGCACCACAGAAACTTACTTTGTGCATGGCTGATGGCATTTGTAGGTATCGTGTGAGGTGCTGTGACACAACTTTGCGCACTTGTGACCACACGCCAAGCCCTTGGCACAGATCTTGAGACATCCTCCTTCGGGCACCTTATCGAAGTCGGCTGTGTCGCGAAGGTGAGTAACGTTATCTGGATGGTTTACACAACGCACCGTGAGATATGGACCAAGAGCGTCGTATTTTTCCAAAACAGTAGACACTTCGCGCCAAATCTACAATAAAAAAATGTAAAGAAAAAGAGCGTCATAAAAGATTCCAATAACAAATTTACCGGACTGCCGTTGCACAGTTGCGGCATATTGCCTAGAATGTACATTCCGTGCTTGGCTCTGGATAAGGCGACACATATGCGATTCTCCAAGTTCAGGAAACCGTTCTTTCCTGCTTCATTATTCCGCACTAGAGAGAGCAAAATAATGTCATTTTCTTCGCCCTGGAAATTGTCCAGAATGCAAATACGCATGTCGCGCAAGATATGATATCTCTTTTTGAGAGCACGCAGAACAAACCACTGGCCTGAGTACGCCGCAATTATAGTTATTCTAGAGGCATCATAATTGTTTAGCGTCAAGTACCGTGCCAATAGAATAAGATACTCTGCCTCGAACTGATTCTCTTTACTGCGGTCCTGCGATTCTGTTTCACGATGGTCGTGTGTGACAAAGTATAGTGGCGCGTCAATGCCGCGCACATCCGGATACAGCTTCACCGAGTCATGATTATGCAAGACCTTGTAGATTGAAGGGCACACTAAGTTCGCAATCTCAGGACGCATGCGATGCTGTACATCGAGCGTGTGGCAGTGCAAACCGTTCATCACCATGCGTTCGAACAGACTCACGCCGAGATTGTAGTCCCTAGTGATCGTGTAGTCGGCAGTCGACGGTTTGAGCTGTTTGTGGTCACCAATGAGTATTAGATGCTCACACTGTGGGCTAAGTGCGGTAGTGATATGCGCTTCCAGAACTTCTGCCGCCTCTTCAACGATTACGATTGGACAGCCCAATGCCTGGAGTGTCTTATGAAGGCGCGCTGCACCCGTTGTGGTCATGCCGATAACGTCCACATTCTTCAGCTTATACAAATCTAACATGTCCTTGACCTCGGTGAATTTCGCATACAACTGACGATATTCCACGTCTTTTTGAAGGTACAAATCCATTATTAAGTTCTTGTAGCGGCGCACCCAGTTGCCATAGAGTAGCCAACGGTCGTTCGCCGGCATATAAGTGGGGTTCTCGTAGTCAACATAAATGGTTGCTTCGCCTTCCTGCTGCCTTAGCATCCGCAGTTTCTGACAGACGTAATCATAATCGATGCGCAGCTTGATCATCTTTCGCATAGCTGTTAAATAATCAATCGTATTCTCCAAACCAACTGCGCTTAACCGATTCATCTCTTTTGCCAACTCATGCATATTCTCTTCCGCCTTGCGCACGTTGAATAAATCCTTTTGTTCGACATCGTAGCGAATTTGAAGGTCTTCGTCGCGGTCAATGTCTAATTGGTTTTGCTTTATTTGGCCATTCAGGGGGTCATCAGTGGTATCATCATCCTCCACATTAGCATTTTGATTGTCCTCGATGTTTAACTTTTCTATCATCTGTTCAACATTCAAAACACATATTATTCAAAGGACTTGTAAAAAACCTATTTAGCTACCTGTGTGACGGCCTCGTAGTCAGCAAATTTAACTTCGTTTCCATTGTTTGGTTGATACAGTAACCACTCCAGCAATTCTGTTGGTTTAGCACGAGCAAACCAGGATCCTCCAAATTCCGGATCCACATCAAAACGGTTAAATGAAGAAAATCGTAACACGCTCGTGTATTCGTTAATGGCCTGTAGGATGCTGCCGTACATGCTCAACCCGCGCGAGCAATTCGCTACCTCAAACTTGCTTGCACGCTGTGCGTTGAAGTAATCACCAGGTACATTCTTCACTCGTAAATTGCGCAAGTTGAAATTCTTCAAGTTTTCGTTTTTGCACTGCCCGCCGACCCGTACCAAATTCTGCGTATACGGCAGCAGCCCCTCAAGAAACTGATCCAACGCATGGTTCGTGTAACAAATGACGAGCATTGGCGCCTTCATCCAGTTCTTCTTGCGCTCCAACAAATCACGCGCCATCTTTAAGGCGAGGTAAGTCTTGCCAGTGCCTGGCGGACCTTGTACAATGCAAAACTTGCTCATCATAGCGGCTTCGTAAGCAGCGAGCTGGCTGGGATTCAGTGAATCAGTTTCATGCCCTAAATCAACATGACTTCCAGCAGGAGATAGCCCGGCAACTCAGACTCCGTACGCACTTCAACTAGGTATTCTTTAAGAGGAAAGCGCTGCTCGTCCATTTGTTTAAGTGCTGTGAGTACCTGATAGTAGGGCTCAAAGTAAATACTGCATTCTACCATATCGTACATTCTATTAATGTCTAATTCTACGCCCACATCAAATCCCAGTACAAGTCTTCCAATATTGAGATACTTCATGTCTCTGTCGATAATTTTACCAAATATAATGGTGGTGAAATTGTCCGGTGTAAGGCACACCAGTGACCCGAACATGAATCGCTTCGTGTGCTCGAGATTCCGGATGGACTTTGGTTTGAAAGCCTGCACAAGATAACCGACCTGGTTGACATTTGGTACGACGCCTAAACAGAGCACGTCCTTGTATATTTTGATGCTAGATAATTTTTGTTTGCGTCCATCTGAAATCCACAACAAATGATAACAAGCTCAGCCAGGATTAATTTTGTGCTTACCTTTAATCATCTCAAAATATTCGCAAATACCATCCCTCAATGGCGCAACAAAATCTTCGCGCAGCAAGCGATACTGTACATCAAGATAGTGATGCACATCTTGATAGGCACCCTTGATAACGTTTTTGCGTAGATAATTTGATGTGCGAGTGGTGATTTCCAAAGCTGTTGGATACACGTCAATGTCGTGAAAATCATTCGGCGGCGGTTCTTCCTCCTCGGTGTAGCCTAAATTCTCTTTCTGCTTCTTTTTCTTGTCCTTTTTCTCGACAAGTTGCAACAGTTTCAGTTGCAAATCTTCGTACGCAATGCCCATCTCATTGGAAAATACCAGCCGATGATCAGTTTCAAGATTCGGCTGGGTGTACAGAACTGCCTTTACAATTTCCGGTGCAATGTCCAACGCTGTCGTCGGAAGAACTTCCACGAAAGCGTCTAGAATCAGCGCTACATTGAGGAAAAACTGTTCGGGATCGTTCCAGAAGCGCCGACCTTTATTCTTCTTAGCACTGTCTGCGAGCGGCAGCTGCATAATGTAACTTTTCATCGGTTCAAAAAAATTAATGCGAAAAATTGCGAGCAGAAGTTGTGCGACGCTCTCTGCAAATACCGACTTTATCACATTGGCAAGCACCTCGACTACTAACACAATACTATCGGGTGATATTTCAACGCTCTTGAGATAGTTGTCCACTTTCTCAATGTTGCTCAGAAATGTCATGAGCGCTTCCTCCGGGTTTTTGGTGAGAAGTTCTTCCAATTTCTTGAATCCAAAGAAACCGACTCTAGGACGACCATCCGGACGACCATCAGGACGACTGTCGGTGTTCGGTAAGCGATTAGAGCGAAAGTGATCTGGGCGCCGTCCTCGAAATCCATTGCTATTACTTCCTTGTCCTTGTCCACGCCAGTTGTGTCTTAGCTCATTATCGCGAACATTAACACTCTCCATAGAGGAAGCATTGCTTAAATTTCCTCTTGGATTATGACTGTTAGGCAGACGCCTGCTCCATCTGCGAAAATTGTCGTTATCATTATTGACATTTTCCATTGATGATGCATTGTTTAAAATCCTCCGTGGGATACGTTGGTTATTTGGACCTCTGCCCCGATCTGCTGGAAATCTCCTTGACATCCCTCTTCCAGCAAAATTAATATTGATTGGTGCTAAAATACCTCAATAATAATCCATTAGATAATAAGAAATTAATGGAAACCAAACTAATATGCTTACTATCACCAACTCACATTCTTATGTTGATCCGAATCATACAATTTTCCGTCTTACTTGCCACTGCTATGTATTAACTGTGTCTGATGCAAGTGGCATTACTGAACACTGCACTTGCATAAGATGTGCACCCAGGATATTTTAGTATGGATAATATAGTCACTTGAAGTATAATTTGTAGTTGTTGCTAAAACAAATGGAATCAATGTTATACGATAACAATCTCAAATTACTGATAAATGTAATCAGATACAGTGAATAAAGAAAAATGATCGAAAGGGAACTCTATTGGTTGGCAATGAAACATAACTAGCAAATTATTTATCTTTGAAGAATAAAGCATATTACTAGTTAATGCAAACAAAATCTTTTGCGATACCAAGAATGCAAACGCTGCTGAAACATTACACAATGCTACACAATTCTATCTCTGACCTATAGATGAGTCTAACCTCGCCATTCACATTTAAGTCATGTTCGTGTACCTCCTAGCTGAGTATAATAAGGTGGCTTGCGCAGAAATCTATGTGGTACCACTCAAATAAATAAGAATTTTGCAATTACTCACCCTGTCGCGAGAAATTTAGTAGACCACTAGCACGCATTTACTCATCGGTACTAAACATGTGTTTGGAAAAGGCAACGTTATCCGTTTTGGCTGATGCAATAATCATAAAACTCAGAAGGGGGGACACTATACATACACATGTAAATCCCAGAAGAGTGACAAGTACGAGCGGTAACTTGGCGCAGCAGTCATTTATTTTATGTTAATCGCATGCGCCATCATTTAACCACGTTTTAAACTGTTTCTGCATAGATTAAGTATATAAATACGAAATGTACAAGGACTTATTTATTATGGTGCATATACACCCAGAAATTACAAAAGATGGTTCATAATAGAAAGACGTGGTTATAACGCATATGTTTTAATGTTAGCAATCGCGATGCTTCGTGGTACTTTCGTGTATTACGCGCACGCGCTTTAAACCTGGATTTAAACAGTCACGGTACACACCTGGTTGAGATAGCATGACAACTCTAAGGACAACTCTTGGGGCGCAGGTTGTAAGGGCGACCGATGGCACTTGGTGTTTTGCTGGTACCGTTGATTACGTTGGGCGTTCCATGCAGCGTCACATCGTTACGCTAGAGAAAAGCGGAGTCCAAGGTTATACATACGAACGATACAGGTTATGCACTGATTTATTTCTAACATTGCGAACAATATTTACAAATGTATGTTTAAGAGTGTCATAACCGCGGTCATTACCCTAATCGGCTTGAAACTACTAATACTGCTTGATAATATTTTGTAGTATTTTAGTATTAGGGGTCTTGCAATTAAATGTGATCTTGCAGATTCTTGCTTATTTTCATTTATTGCTTTTCTGGTTTTGGGTACTGGATATCTAATTTTGGATTGTTTTAGGATTCTAAGTATTGAAATTCTTAAAGATGTAACCTGGAATCTGGCAAGTGAACCCAATCTCTGACTAGGAACCAATCTTGGGTGGTTTTGGGGATCTGTCAAATGAACCTGACCTCCCATGATACTGATGCCAGCATTAAATTGTAAGTGCAGAAATTCTTTATCATTTTCATTACTAACATTTGTAAGTAACACCTGTAGATGCCACACAAATGCAATATTCATGTATTGAAGAACTAATTTGGAATGGTTTTAGAATTTTACAATCTATTCCCGGGACATCACACAAATGGATTTTTTCTCATATGGTAATTGAGTTTTTGTTCATTCAAATAATACATTAATTCAAATTGTATTAACAACTGTTATACAGTGTTACACATTACAGTTGAACTGTGGTAATCCGACAATCACTTTGCATGTAAGTGTCGGATTAGGAATTTGTCAGATTAAATAGGACTGCCTAAGACTCCTACAGTCCTGAATTTTTACGTAAGAGTACCTTGTATTCCGACAAATTGCAAATCCAATAAGATCCTATATGTTATATACAGTGGAGTCGGGGTAATCCGGCTCCTGTCTAATCCGGCACCCTTTGTAATGACATGGTCATATGTCATATGTTTGTACATATAGGGGTTTTGCGCCTGATGTCTGCATCGTACAAGAACCATTTTTTCACCAGATTGTAGGCATTTAATTTCTTTATCATTTTCATAGATAACTTTTGTAATTATCTCACAAATTGACCCTAAAAATTGCATTTTTGTGTTGCAAAGGACTAATTTTTTATAGTTTTAGGGATTTTGCACCAGATCCTTGCATCGTACAAGGACCACCTTTTTACCAGATTGTAGGCATTTAATTTCTTTATCATTTTCCAAGATAACTTTTGTAATTATCTCACGAATTGACTCTAAAAATTGCATTTTTGTGTTATGAGGGACTTAATTTTGATGACTTTAGGGATTTTGCCCCTGATCCATGCATAGCACAAATACCATTCTTTCATCAGATTGTAAGTATTGATTTTCTTTATCATTTTCATAGATAACTTTTGTAATTATCTCTCAAATTGACCCTAAAAATTGCATATTTGTGTTGCTAAGGACTAATTTTTCATGATTTTGGGTATTTGCACCAGATTCTTGCATCGTACGGAAACCATTCTTTCATCAGATTGTAAGTATTGAATTTCTTTATTATTTTCATTCATAACTTTTGTAATTATCTCTCGAATTGACCCTAAAAATTGCATTTTTGTGTTCCAAATGACTAATTTTTGATGATTTTAGGGATTTTGTACCTGATCCATGCATGGCACAAAAACCATTCTTCCATCAGATTGTAAGTATTGCATTTCTTTATAAGTTTCATAAATAACTATTGTAATTATCTCACGAATTAGCCCTAAAATTGCATTTTTGTGTTCCAAATGACTAATTTTTGATGATTTTAGGGATTTTGCACCTGATCTATGCATCGCACAAAAACCATTCTTTCGTCAGATTGTAAGTATTGAATTTCTTTATAATATTCATAGATAAATTTTGTAATTATCTCACAAATTGACCCTAAAAATTGCATTTTTGTGTTGCAAAGAACTAATTTTTGATGATTTTAGGGATTTTGCACCTGATCTATGCATCGCACAAAAACCATTCTTTCGTCAGATTGTAAGTATTGAATTTCTTTATCATTTTCATAGATAACTTTTGTAATTATCTCTCGAATTGACCCTAGAAATTGCATTTTTGTGTTGCAAAGGACTAATTTTTGAAGATTTTAGGGATTTTGGACCTGATCCATGCATTGCATAAAAACCATTCTTTCATCAGATTGTAAGTATTAAATTTCTTCATCATTTTCATAGATAACTTCGGTTCACGAATTGACTCGAAAAATTGAAATCCTGGCAAATATTATCTACTTACTACCAGAATTTGAAAAATAATTGAAATATGTACATTTATAAATATATAATATCTATATAAATATGAATTGCCTGTTAGTCGCATTAATAGTAAACTGTATTGTTTTTAAAAATTTTATTTGCTTCCGGAAATGGTCTCCATCTTGCAATTAATTAGCTGTAGTTGGGAGCGCCGTAGAAATACTGCCTAGTGTGCTAGCTGTGACAATATTACACTGTTATCCAGGTATAGTTTAGATAGACGAATATTTGTACACATGTAAACAGTGAGCCAATAGCAGCACCGCGTGGTCGTTTCAGAGCGCGCATTCAGTTCCATTCCGGTTGCCGTGCGAACCACGCGTGTTCATCGCGACTAGTTTTATTTCTCCCTATTATAAATTGATCGTAAATCGACTTATATTTAATAAGCAATCGACGACATTTATTAGAATTGCGCGTGAACGGAATTTCGCCAGATAATAAGCACGTCGGCCGTCGGAGATTATTTTTCGCGTGTGGATTATACTGCACTCGTGTTGGCCTGCATGTGCACGGCGTACATGCCGTCGGATGTCGGATATCGCCCACAATAACTTTGATTTATGTTTAATTCGAATAAGTAGACAACTGATGTGCCCAGAGAAGAAGATTACACTTACAACGGCACTGGAGTTCCGAATATTCATCGCAGAAGAGTTGCAAATGTGCGCATATTTTAAGGCAAGTCTTCTCGTCTTCTGCGCCATTTAATAATTGTCGTTATTTTTCTATATAAAATATGTTTGTATTTGGAGATGTCAATAAAATAAAATTAATATAAATTAATAACTCATTCATATTTGTTTTTGGTATCCTCTTTGCCGTTTTCAGTATATGAGCGATTCACACATTCAATATAGATATTATACGCGTGGAGCAAGTGCAACATATCTGATACTTGTGTTGTTGTTTTTAAAAAGTTGATAACAGTAGAAACATAAATAGAAGAATCAAATATTAATGATAAAAGCACTCGGTGGTCGAGTGGAGACGTGCACCTGCTAGCATGCTAGCAGACGCGGATCGAATCTCAGGTATAGAAGGCATTTTTCTCAAATATAAAAATATCAGGTGCAATTTGGGTTGCATATATGAATTGCAACGAAATATAAGAGTAATTGAAATACAAGTGAAGGCAATATGAGAAATAAGAAAGTAAGTGGAGGAGCGGGAACAGAGAATTGGAAGAAGAAGAAAGGAGTAGCAGAGAAGAGTAGAAGACAGAAGGAAGAGAACAGAGTAGAGAAGAGGAGGAGATAGAAAAAAGGAGAATAGGGGTGACGGAATTTTTAAATTTTTTGGCACGTGTCGTTATAAGACAGTCTACGGTCGATCTCCCAGAGCGCCGCCGGCGCTCTGGTCGATCGCCCACTACTTCGGTTCGTCCATTGCTCCCGGCCCATCCTACAGCTACGATGTCTCTGCGCTTCATCCCCGAAATTATCAGGCATATCAACAATTTTTATGGTGGGGGATCACCCCCAAAGAGGGGGAACCCCTTATAAGGACAATCCTTGTCTTGTAAAAATATTTCTAAGTTTTAAGTCGCCTCAAGAGAGGTGATACTTAAAAATATTCTTACAAGTTCTGACCTGTAGCTGAAATGAAAGAAGGAGTACACAAATCATACAGGTTACCTTAACAATTTTTATAGAGGGGATCATCCCCTGAGAGAGGGAACTCTCTTAGAGACATGTACCTGGAATGATAGAAGGGGTACATTCAAAGCATAAGACATAATATTTCTTAACACTTCTTTATTATAATATTCATAAAATTCAAAACTAGAATACACAATTCTTACAAAATACATGTCGCCATTTTGAAACAAGTCTTACAACTAGCATACGCCGGTAAATACAGACAAGTACGACAGGAACCGAAATTCACAAAGGAAAACACATAGCAGTAACAAATGTTCTCATCTTACGTAAAACAACTCTACAGGGTGTTAAAAAAACAATATTATTAAAAAAAATATATTCAAAGTTCAAGCAGGAAAACATATTCACGACTGTGGCTAATTGGCATACAGGGTGTTACAAAAATAAAAGAATAGAATTTTGTAGAAAAATTCACAGTACACGTAAAAAATATAAACCTTTAGTATAATGGAAAATCGATATACAGGGTGTTGCAAAAAGAAAATCACAAAATTTTATAGGAAATTTCACAGTACAATTAAAAAACACATAAATCTTCAGCACGGTGGAAAATCTATATACAGGGTGTTGCAATAAGATAATATTTTAAAAGGAAAGGTACAAGTAGATAAACATATATCATAGTCACTTTTCGCGTGGACACGCAGAAAATCAATATACAGGG